AGGTATACTCTGATGAACAACATATTGGGTTAGGGGATTTCATCATAGGCTGACATCAGTTAAAGAACCATTGGGAAATCCGGGAGTACTGAACAACCGTTTCGTCCTGGCGTGAAACTCTTCACCAGTGAGCGCCCACCGAGGTTCGAATCCAGGACCTTCTGATTACAAGGTTTGGGAGTTTATAAACCGTTAAGCCACTGGGATCCAATCCAATAGCCAGTCCATGAATTCTAACTTCTGCGGGTTCACGACCACTTCGCAGTGTCTTCTTGAATGAGCAACTGTTCTCACCTCCAACCTACTGTACCCTACCAGTCACAACTTTCAACTACAACCCCAGGTAACTACCTGAATAGGGTGAGTCGCTAGTGAGCATCAGATGAATTTTCAAGCATTGGTTTTGTAGGGATTCTGTTTGATTGGTCGTGCTATGTCGTGAATTAGCAGAAGTTAGAATTCATGGACTGACCATTGGATTGGATCCCAGTGGCTCAATGGTCTACGAGTTCCCCAGCCTTGTAACCAGGTCCTGGGTTCGTACCCTGGCGGTGGGTGCGTACCACTGAAGAGTCCTAAAGGGTTAGGACGAAACAGCCGTCCAGTACTCCCTGCAGGTTTTCTTGTGGTTCTCTAAATGATGTCAGCTCATGATGAAGTCTTCCATGCAATTGAGAATATGATTGAAAAGGATTAGCCTACAAGTGATTTTCCAATGCCACTCATAAAAACAGTGGATAACCTAATAATTTATGATTCCTTCTACAAAATGCTTCTTGAAAATGAATCAATTAGGAAAAAAGAAGAGGAAGAAGTTAATTGATAAGAAAATATTTGCAAAATATGAATTTTATTTTTTGTAATATAAAAATATCCTGATTCATTGACAATTCACAAAACGAAGACACAACACCAAAATTATTCATAACACTACTAACAACAGTGAATGCTGAAAAAAAAGTTTTCCCCTTTTAAATGAGAATTAGTGAATAACTAATATTAAACATAAAAAATTACCAAAAACAAATCAACTTTTTTCACAATGAATTAGACCAATTATCTGGACACAAAAAGAATTAGGCAAAGGACTACAAGATGAATGAAACTCATCACTAAATATTAGAAAATAAGTTAAATTCACCTCTAAAATATATGCGAGAGAGAATGGAAACTTGAAGGCGGCCTTCGACTCCGTGGATCGAAAGGTACTATGGCAATGTCTGACTGTGAAGGGAGTGCCAAGAAAGTACATTGCACTAATCAAGGCACTCTATTCAAACTCACGTAGTCGTGTAAGGGCTTATGGGGAATTGTCATCTGAATTGGTAACAACCAGTGGTGTCCGACAGGGATGTCCACTTTCCCCATTTCTGTTTAACTTCATCATAGATATGCTGATGGAAGTATCCTTAACTGAACGTAATGACTTAGGAATCGACTTGTTACCAGGGAATAGTCTTATGGACTTAGAATATGCAGATGACATAGTCCTGTTAGGGGAGGATGCTGACAAAATGCAGAGTCTTCTGAACACCTTGAGCAGCAATCTTCGTATGTTTGGCATGCGATTCGCCCCTGCAAAATGTAAGATGCTGCTACAGGACTGGACGACGTCAACCCCTAACTTAGTGATAGGGAGTGAAGTGATAGAACATGTTGACCACTTCACCTACTTGGGAAGTTGTATTAGCACCAACGGACTGATTGGCGATGAAATCTCAGCACGGATCCGAAAAGCTCGAGCTGCTTTCGCTGACTTACACCATCTCTGGCGTAGGCGTGACATCCGGTTATCAACCAAGGGACGTGTGTACTGCTCATCAGTTCGCTCCGTCCTTCTCTATGGCTCTGAAACATGGCCAATACGCGTTGAAGACATGAAAAGGTTGACTGCTTTCGATCATAGATGTCTGCGATCTCTGTCTCACGTTAGGTGGTTTCACAAGATAAGTAATGTTGACGTTAGGCGTAGAGTGTTGGGCAAAGAGGGAAAATCAATCGACGAGGTTATAAAGTTACATAGACTAAGATGGCTAGGTCACGTGGTGCGCATGCCTAACCACCGCCTCCCCCGACGGGCATTGTTAGCTGATATAGGTTCAGGTTGGAAAAGAGCCAGTGGTGGCCAAACAAAAACATGGCATCAATCCATGAAATCCTTGACAGTTAAACTGAGTCAGGTAGGGAGATGCAGACTCCCGGGTTGGGGCCCTCGGGACTCTAGGAATCAATGGCTGGAGACAATAGGTGACATGGCTCAAAATCGTTGTCAATGGCGCAGATGTATTCAGTCTCTGTAATCTTTCATATCCCTTTTTACCATTACCCATTCTGTTTCACTCTTATACTTGTCAAACTCTATTGATTCTCTTCACTCATCTTCTTGTCTACCTCTGTGTGCTATTTGGAACGTGGCAACTCGAACTGGTGCACTTCGGTGCCAGGTTCTATGTTGAATCCAGACAGACAGTCAGTGGGTAAATAATAATATCAATAAAGACGAACATACTAAGACACTTAGACGACTACAAACTGAGGGATGGAAGTAATTTCTCAATGAATGCTCGATTTCTGTATATCCTGGCCATGTTTTTTTTTATCTAAGTTCGTAATGGAATCCATCAATACATAGGAGATATGTAACTCTTATTGATTTAAGTTTGCGTTTGATGTTTGATTGAAATGTGCTGAAATGTTCGACCTCTCTGTTGACATGCCGGCTCCTAGTATGGACACTTCGGCAAAATCTGAACATTAAAATGATGTTATCTCTGGTGAATGGTGGCCAGCAGTGAGACCCAGGGTGAGCACTTTCTCCTAGTTGGAACTTGTCATCTGGATGTGCCTATAATCCCGAGTGGTGATGTTCTCTCTGAGACTTGAATCAAGCACCCGTCATCGTTTCAAACTACAAAGGCCACTTAAGCCATAAATGGCGAACTTTTGTAACACAGGTATCAGTTATAATCTGTTTGATTTAATTTTGTATTTTTCGTTAACTGATTAATATTGTAACGAAATGTTCGATCTCTGCCGCCACGTTGAATAAGTTTAAGTCACAGATATGCATGAATTTGCAGTAAGAGTTCAATTCATTTATCCATTCGAAACCCACTACTTATTATAAGTAAGTAGTGTAATTCTTTATAACAAATGTTCAATATTCAGGCATAATATTTTCTTATTCTGGACAGTTTTTATTAAATGTACATAATTTTCAGAGGAGTTTATTGCATAATATTGTCCCTTCGTACAATCAATATCTTCAAGTAAAATATTAATTGACAGTTTATCCTGTGACACAATGGTCTCCGAGTTAAAATGCAAACCACCTTCAGGAAATCTATAATATACCTGCTTGAAAGCTAATTGTAAGATGTTCAGAAGTACATGTTGAAACCCGAGGACATAACTGAAGAACACTTATCTCATGTGTTAGAGTACTTTGCCACTCATAATCAGGCCACTGCTCAAGTTTAATAGGAACTTGCGGATCAGGAGCTTGTAAACACTTTAAATGCACACAAGAGTACATAATACCAATGTTATTCGATTAAAACAAGTCGAACGAGAGAAAATATATGCAATTTAGAGGGATGAAAGTTTTTGGTAACCCAAGTTTTAAGCAGGCTGCCATATATAATTAAGGAGAAGAATAGTTATTAGTCATTATAGATCATTATTTTTCTCTACATAAGCCAAACGTATCACTCCATTACGGATTAGATTTTATTTTGATAAATCACGCAGTGTTATACAGTAATATTAACTGATGCCCGCGTTTCGAGCACAAATTATTACTGCTCATAATCATATCAAGTTACTCACACAACTTTTTCCTTCCTTCATTTATATACACGTGTGGAATTGACTAGATATTTGAATAAAAATCAATATAGGATAATGTACATTCAGAAATAATAATACGATGAGAAATAAGACGAGTGTCATAATAAGTAACTTGTTAGAATGTTGTGATGTGCTTGAAGTGAAGTAGAATGTTAAGATTATTTATAATCCTCTTCTGATTTGACTGACTGGTGGTAATGATATCTTCCATATTTCTGGTATTTGCATTGAGTCATTTCTGTTGCATGTGTTGGGTGTAGACTCAATGGACAAGGATCCAGTAATCAATCTCTCCCTCCACCTACAGAGATTACTTCTTAGAATCTTAACCCACTCCCACCCTATTGTGTGACTTTGTATTAATGCATGCAGTGCTATTGCTGAGCTTTTTTCTAAATTACTTGTCTTCTCAGGCTCAACCATTCTTACCCTAGCCAAATTCTTATGTTCCGGCAATCTGATTACCCCCGATCTATTAGTTTGATCTATATAGTTGACTTTATTCACAGTCATTGCAAGGTATTTTGTAAATTATATTATTTTGTCTAATTGGGTTCACCGGGTCTTTTATCCTACAGAGCTTGTCTCTGAGTCAGTTTGTAAGTTTAAATGCCACTTTAATTCCTGCTTTATTAAGAATCCCACGTAGGGTCTCAGATGTCCCTTCCTTACACGGTATAACAGTAGATGACTTATATTCTCTCTTGATATGATTATGAGCAGTAATAATTTGTGCTCGAAACGCGGACATCAGTTAATATTACTGTTTAACACACTGTGTGATTTATCAAAATAAAATCTTATCCATAATGAAGTTATACTCTACCACAGTGACAAAGTTTTATACTTACATTAAACTAATCACTGCTTTATTAAGTGGTGTTACACAGTAATTACCGAAAAATGAACGAAAATCTTCTACTAAATGGGAAAAAAACCAACTTCAACAAATCAAGTAGAATGAAAAATTACGGGAAAAAAAGGGATGGAAATTTGTAGATGGCCGAATGCGACAATTTACCTTTGTAAATGAAGGAGTAAAAAAACCAAAATAAGACCAAAGAAGAAAATACTTCGTTTCGAATTAGGGATTTGAGCATTTTCTTTAACAAAAAGAATTAATAATGAAGATTCATTTAAGAAAAACTCACCAAATGTGATTTATCCAGTCGCTCTAAAGCCAAAGGACCCTTGAAAGCTGGGATAACTGCAGGAACCTGATTCAAGGTTATCGGCTTTGATTGTGAAATCTACATAAAATTAAAAATAAAGTGGTGTGGAAACTAAGAGAAACGAATACAACAAAAATTTTTTATAAAGTGGTGAAGAGAAATGGAGGGGGGGGGAATCGAGGAAAATTTCATAGTTTTCCACTCGATTTCTGATTTTCTTCGTTAGTATGTGTTAAAATTATTTCCCAGGGGTTAAAGAAATGGCTGCATACTAATGTTCTGATATCATGAAAAAGCATATACCACAAGACACACCAAAGTATAACAGTCTGTACCAAATTCGTATGCATTAGAATTGGAAAGAACATTTTATTTTCCTTCACGTTCCCCAGTGGAACATAGGACTTAAAGCTAGTGGCTTGAAGTTTCTGTAGCAGTGTTTATTTTACAGGATGGGGTTGCTAGCCTCATGCCCAACCTTTCCTCTTTACCAGCATTACTTCTGGCTTACCGAGGTAGAAGAGTGCGTTGGCCGGGAATCGAACCCCGCACCATGTGCATGTCTGTTTGTGTCTGTCTGTTTTCGACATAGAACTTTGCACAAATGTGCGGAAGTTCAAGTCGCCACACTCCCACCTTGTAGCACACAAAGCAAGAGAAGAAAGTACAAGAAATGCATAATAGAAACAGTGAGCAGAGGTGTGAGACAAAGGAATAGTAATAAAGAACAACAATATAGTTTCATTGGAAATCATAAGTCACAAGGAGTGGATGCATCTGCGCCACTGAGAACGATTTTGAGCCATGTCACCAATTGTTTCCAACCATAGATTTTTACCGTCCCGAGGACTCCAATCAGCCTGGAAGTCTACACCTTCCTACGTGGCTTAGACCAACTGTTGTGGATTTCATTGACTGGTGCCAAGTTTTTGTTTGACCGCCGCTAGCTTTTTTCCAGCCTGACCCTATGTCAGTGAGCTAACATTCCTCGTCGAGGGAGGCGATGGCTTGGCATGCGCAACACATGTCCTAACCATCTCAGTCGATGTAGCTTCACGACTTCGTCGATTGATTTCCCCTGTTTACCTAGAACTTGACGCCTAACTTCAATGTTGCTCGCCTTATTATCCCACTTTATACGGGAAATAGAGCGCAGACACCTATGATCAAAAACAGCTAGTCTTTTCATGTCTTCCACTCTCGGTGGCCAGGTCTCACAGCTGGCCATAAAGGAGGACGGAGCGGACTGATGAGCAGTACACCCGCCCTTTGGTCGATAGTCGAACATCTCATCTACGCCATGTGCATGGTCGGCGATTAACCCAACCACTATGCCACCGACGAACACAATATTTCTTTTTTCATTTTAATTACAGCTTGATTCCACACCATATTTTCAGTACAGGTATGGAATTTTCAGCATGGATATCGGTAGCCCAAATTTTGCAGGCCGATAATAAACATCGGGTGTGCGCTGGTAGGGGATCGAACCTTGGCCCATGTGCATGGTCAGCGAGAGTCCTAACCACTGTGCCACCGACGCTAGAAAGGACATATCACTGATAATAGGCATCAGAGAATGAAGCAGAACTGCAGTTGGTTAACTTTCATTTGAACTTGATTGAGTGAAATACAATTCAAAATTATGAACAAAAAGTGAATAATACTGTTAAATGATGATGAAGATAACCAGTCAACGAACCAACAACAACAACAACAACCAGTACCAATCACTATCAAAGGGAGGGGGAGATTTAACAGAGGTTACCTCCTTCACTTATCTGGCTAGGAAGCACGGTTTCAACCACAGGCATTTGGAACAGATGATGATATCGAAGCCGAACAGAATCGGAAAGGCAAGATACGCCCCCATCAACCAGAAACAACCAGTTTGGAAATCTTCTGCACTCAGCTAGCAGAAAGAACACAATTCGGATTTTCAACACAAATGTGAAGTTAGTCGGTTCTTTTGTTAAGTCTTTAAATATTCCCACCTAACATGGAGTGGAAAAGTAGCTAGGTGAACTCCTCCAATCGTTACACAAGATGGTAGTAAATCATAGTGTTAAAGACGTTCTTGAATTTATTGCTAACGTGGATGATATCAGTGTAAATGGGAAGCAAATGCTTTCCTTGGATGTAGCATCACTGTTTACCAATGTACCACTTATGGAGACTGTGAAATTCATATGCCAACAGATACTAGAAAAAAACAGTTCGACATCGGAATTCCAGTTATTAGTCTGAAAGAGTTGCTTTTAAGATGTACTATGAATGTACATTTCACATGCAACAACTCCATAGGGGCCAATTTCGACAGATTTCTTTCTTGCCAAGATTGAAAATGGTCCATTGAAACAAGTAATAGAAAAAGCTGATTCTTATTTTCGTTATGTTGATGATACGTTTATTATTCTTGATGTGAAAACTGACAAGAATGAAATGTTAAAAAAGTTTAATGAGGCATATCTATCGCTCATCTTCACTTGTGAAGAAGAATATGATGGTAGACTACATTTCCTTGACGTCCAACTGAGCACAAGAGAGGATGGTTCACTCAAAAGAGATGTCTATAGAAAACTTACATCTGTAGGACAATATACACATTTCCTCAGTTTTGTACCAATCCGATACAAAATCAATCTGGTCAGATGCCTCACAAATAGAGCAAGACGTATCTGTACAGACGACTCCCTAGAAAATGAGCTAGGATACATCCAAATAACTTTGGTCTAAATGGGTTATCCCAGTAGATTTGTGAGGAGGCACGTGAATACCAGGTACAATAAAGAAAAACTGACAACAGTTAAAAAGAAACATCTGTTCATGAAACTGAAATTTAATGGGGATGTGGCTAGCGAAGTCTTACATCTGAGATTAACGAGAGCGATAAAACGGACCTATATTGCAGCCACCCTTTGTTTGTCATTTTCCGGCTGCCGACCAGTTTTGATCGCTCAAGTTAAAGATAAGCTACCTAGCTGTGCCACTTCGATGTGCATCTATTAATTTAGTTGCTCCTGTGGAGAAAGCTATAAAGGGCGAACAACTAGACAGCTTAACAAACGCATTAATGAGCATCTTCCTTCATGATTCGGAAAAGGTCAAATAAAATCCATACGAAGTTCTATTTTGGCTCATTTGATTGACAGCGGTCACCAAGTGGGCAAAAATAGTCCCTTCAAAGTTATCTATCGCATTCCATCGAGTCTTTCGAATGGAATCAGAACCCGTCTTTTACACCTAGCCGAAGCTATGGAAATTCGAGAGAACAGTCCTAGTCTTTCATTATAAATGATTTAAACTAATCCCAGCGTGTTAAGAATCCTAGGTCTTTGCATACGAAAGAAATTTGTCCTACCTTTGTCTCTCCATTGGCCTAGGTGAATTCTATTCAAAACCCTCCCAACCCTTTCTTATCTTCCATCTCCTTCGTACTTTTATGATATTTATTTAAACTCTGATTATCGTTCCATTTCACCTTTTAAGATTTCACCTAATTTATTTATTTACTGAATTGTCTACATATACACATACATAATATTATTATATACTACCTTTGTTATTCTGATCACCAGCCCAAACCTCAATATGAATTAAAAGTCAATCTGAACGAAGAATATTCTTTTCAATAATTTCTCTTCAGGTCCTTACAATTATAAAATATAATATTTGTGGTCGTTACAATAAAGGCCAGTTATGCGGCGGATACACATCTTAAACCTTATTATGAATATTTTGTTATCATTATAAATATCGTTATTAATTTCGTTCAAAACATTTCCCACATTATTATTATCATTATTTGATCCACAAAATCACCGTCATTGGTTAAAAATATTTATATATAAATCTGTGTAAATTAGAGTAAAGCCTGATGGAGATCTAATTAAAAACGATACTGTTCGCTTATATGTCTTTTGTTAAGGTCAGAAACTTGGCGGGAGTGTCACGAACAGCAAGTTACAGGCTTTCATCAACAGATGCCTTCGCCAGCTGGCTCCATACTGAATATCAAATAGCTGGCCGGAGAAAAAGAATTAGCAACAGGAAACTCTGGCGATGAACAAATCAACCAAGAGCCGATCGCTCAACGAATATGCAGAAGAAAGAAGAATACTGATCAGGAGGCATACGTTGAGGAAGCTGTCAAATGACATTGCGAGCCGCCAGGCCGATGCTTGACTCGGACCCCAAAGAGGAGAGACGAATGGATCATCGGTGGGGGGCGGGGGTGAAATAGAACAGATCGTGAGAGTTGGAAGAGATGACAGACTATGTGCAATCGTGAAGCTAGCCAGCTGGAGAGGACAGCAGAGGATAAAATAAAGTGGAGATGTGTTGTTGAGCTTACCATAGCTTCAACATGTGGTGCACCACCTGATACCACAAAATGTCAATCAAGAAAGCAAGTACAGATGCGTAATGCTGTATACTACTAACTAGCTGATAACAGTAGTTGCATACTACTCAAGCAGATCACAAATTGTGATTTGAATAATTCCAAAGCAAATCATGATGAAATTTCACCTAGAACTGTTTAAATTGTAAAACAAGAATTAAGTTTTAGATTTCAAATTTGATTTAACGTCGATTTGTGTTAAAAACCCTTCGCTTCACAACAACATGAACTTAGAAAACAATATTTATAATAAAAACGTCGCTCAAATCACCTTCAACTAACCTGATTTAAGACATCAGCGAATTCCTTTAAGGATCTAAGAACAGGTTGAGAGTAACCGGCAGACGATAAAGACGTCTCAGTAGCTAAATGAAGTTGTTCTAATAATGAAGACTGAACTCCACTATGAAATCTATGTGCCAGAGCTTTTGTGTCTATAGATTCACACTGTTCTGGTGTCCAAAATGCGCGTGATAGAAATACTCGGGGGAAAGCGAAACTGAAAAGGTGGGAACGTCAAATTAGCTAAAACGTATGCTGGCAAATCATATGTGCATTAGATTACGAAAATTCTAAATGCGATTATTCTGTAGTCATAATCATAAGTTATCTTTTTCATTCTATCCTTAATAATAATAATAACAATAATAATATTAACGAGGACACCAACAATAAGGCATCTAAATCATCAGTAGTAATTCCTGCCATACGAGGAAGGAACCTCGGAAACCTTATGCAGGATTCTTAACATGGCAGGAATAAAAGTGGCTGGCATTCAAACCAACCACAAACTCAATTAGAAACAAGCTTTGTCGGTTAAAGGATCCTGTGGAGCCTTCAAAACAAAACAATTTAGTTTATCTAATATCCTGCAATGATTGTGAGGTCAAATACATAGGTCAAACTAGTAGAACAGGGGCAATCAGACTAGCCGAACATGAAAACCTAGCAAAATCTAGATTGGTTGACCCGAATAAGATAAGAAATCTAGAGAATAGTTCAGCTATAGCAGCAATACATGCAATTACACACAACCATACAATAGGAGGGGATAGGATGACAGTCTTTAATATCTAATGTCACATGGTAGAGGGAGAGATTGATAACAGAAGCTTTCTTTATCGAGTCAACTGCAAATACATGTAATAGGAATGATTCAACACCTGTCCAGGCGGATATCTGGAAAATTCTACTACCCCAACGACGACAAATAGGAGAGGACAAAGGAAACTATAAAACTCAAGTTTCAAAGTCGTGTGATTATAATTGACGAGATGATTATGAACAATAAATTTTGTTCAAAACCTTGTCATCCATTAAATAATACTGTTTCACTGTATGATACATCTAATAAACAAACTAATATGGAATTACTGACTACCACAGTGCCTAAGTTTTACGCATATATTAATCCTTAATTCTGGTTGTGAAACAACTAAATACTCATAAAAATATTACAGGAAAAAATAATTCGGGCATTCGATGAAGGTTTGTGTAGGCGCCTCACAATGCCAGATGACTGATGAAAGCAGTAACTAGAAAGTTATATATAACACACGGCTCTGTGAATGTTTGTAATTTCATGGAAAATTGAACGCTATAATTTAATCTGATGACCAATCCCCACTGAACATTGAGTGCCTCATGTACCACAACCTTTTGTCATTTAATTAACTTGACACATTACAGACCTAAATGATAACATTGACTAAGCACAGACTGTTTGAAGATAAAATATCTCTCTTCCCAAATTTTTTTATTGTGTGAGGGTTGATAATACTAATCAGTCGCTAAAGATGAATCCCGTAAAGTGGGTAAAAGTGCCTAAATGTCGAATACTAAAGCTAGTAGTTCACAATTTCACAATTCTGTCAACTAGCCTCAGACTACATGTTATTCCATGAATGCAGGTTATTTTTTTGAATTCTCAGCATGTATCTAAGTTTTCCATTGATGATACGTTTAAATTTATTGACAGCATTAAAGATTTTAATGTCTCAAACAAAGTTATGTTCTCAAAAGATGTGACGTTGCTATTTACCAATGTTCCTCTCATGAAAACTGTTAGCTATTCATGTGATTATATTGATACACATAGTTTGGAAATAGGGTTGCCGACAGTCCAACTCAAAGAGCTTCTTTTGAGATGCACGTTAAAATGTTCAGCTCACCTTCAATAATGAGATTTTTAGATAGAGAGATGACATTGCCATGGGATCACCACTGGGTCTCCCCTGTAGGCTGATTGTTTTATGGCAAAGCTTGAAAATTCACAGCTTAGTCAAACCATCAGTCATTTTGACATTTATAAAAGATACATAGACGACACTATGGTTATCTGCGATAATAAAGTAATTCTTGATGATGTCTTCTTTGCTTTCAACCACTGCCATCCTTCTTTACAATTCACCACAGAAAAGGAATCTGAACTAAGTATTCCATTTCTTGATGTGTGCCTTAGCAGACGTAATGACGGATCTCTCAGAAGATCTATCCACCGGAAACGTACATAGAACGGACAACTAACTAATTTTTATAGTTGGGTGCCTATCTCCAGGAAAAGGAAACTAATTCATTCGCTGTGTTTTAGGATAAGGAAAATTTGTAGCTCTGATTGCGTCGACTCAGAACTTGACTTCTTAAAAGCCACGTCCGCAGAAACCAGTTACTCTAACCGATTTATTGACAGCAACATGAAAGATAAGCAGTCTAAACTGGTCACCGACGCAGTTCCAAAGAAAATCTTATTCATGAACTTGGAATTCAAAGGTGATTAAGCTTCAGATATGCTCAAAAATCGTCTCTCTAAATCAGTCAGTAAGACGTTCTTTGCAGAAAAATTACATGTGACCTTCACTAGCCGCATGTTGTTCTCTACTTCTGTAACAGATAAGCTCACCCGTCTGGCCGCTTTCACGTGCATCTACCAGTTCACCTGCTCCTCTTGTGGAGCAAGGTACATTGGCCGTAGTCAGAGGACGCTTTCCACACGGATACGAGAACATACTCCAGCATAGTTTTACAAGAGAGAAAGGAAGTGTGTGCGAAGCTCTATTCTGGAACACCTGATCGACTTCTGTCACCCTGTCAACCCTGACCATGATTTTAAGATCATATATATAATCTATGCTAACTTCCCGCGTTTTCTTCGTTACAGACTTCTAAAGACAGCGGAGGCCTTGGCAATTCATGACTTTAAGCCAGATCTTTGTGTACAAAAGAAGTATGTACAATCCCTACTTCTGCCTTGACCGTAGAGATATAGACATTTATTTATTTTGTTTATTTAGTTATTCTATGTACATTTCCCTCATTACTATGATTCTTATTGTTATTATTATTGCTATTCTCACTCTAAATTGTTTCCGCTTATCCTACTTGCCATTCGAAATCCAAAAGAAACGTTTTTACAATGCTGAATTCTATCGTATTAAACTTCATACCATATTATGTAACATTTTGTAATCGCCTACTAATCCTATAATTATGTACTCCTTTCCAAAATCTATACACCTTATGTATTATTCTATATATGACATTAACTTGCTTTGCCACTTGTCATTAAACTATGATTATAATCACAAATATTTTAATTGCATTTCATACTATTATTATTTCATGTATTCACACCTTTGACCTAATTCCCTCACCGGATACAACTTCTTAAAAACCATATATATACGATCGTACAGCTTGATGATAAATTCGTTGAAAAGAGTCTCTTCGCTGAATATTGTGTTCTTAATGCTACAATGGGAATTATTAACTTATGTCGTTATGTGCCTATTCATATACTGAACAGTAAGTCACCCTCGATAAATAACGTGGAAATGTGCCTGATTATATCTTAAACATTTGACTTTCAGCTAACACATCTCGGGTACGTCTTATCCCCCTCCACCTGTTCCAGCGTAACCCAGTTGGATAGTATCCCCAACCGTCGTACAAGAAGTGTGATTCATATCGATGGAACATGAAAGACCTGTTCAGATAAACAGAGTTCACACAATACACAATGATGAATAACGTTTATTGATGCTACCTTACGGTCCAAACTCTGATGAACAAAGTTATAAGTGAAAATAAGATCTAATTTATAAGCGTGAACTGTCAAAATACATAAAAAAATAAACATAGAATCTATAAGATCATTCAGTATCTTAATTCTTCATAACTTAACAGTCATTTGTAGTTTCTTGAAAAAAACAAGACATGAAGATTACTGATATTTTTAAAAGCTTCTTTTAAATCAGAAATGAAATAGTATCAACAATGTAACGTAACTAACTAAAAAATTTTTATTTCACTGTAAAAATGCTATTTGAACTCCTGGATGCCCTACTTACAAGAAAACCAGATAGTAGCATAAAAAGAAATTCGCATAGAAAAAGTAATTGGACAGGACAATATACACATTTTCACAGCTTCCTTCCTATCAAGTACAAAAGAAATTTAGTGGAGACCCTCAGACACAGAGTTAGAGCTATATGCTCAGAAGAAGTAATTGAAGATGAATTAACCATTGTATATGATACTTTGATCGAAAATAGCTATCCCGAAAAATTTATCAAGAAACACATGACAACGGAAGCGGAAAAGGACTAGTCACTATCTGTAAACAAGAAGCCTCTTTATATACGACTACAATTTATGGGCGATATACCAAATGAAATACTTACGAGGAAATTAGGAAAATCAGTTTAAAGGACTTTTAATGCTGGCGAACTTCACGTATTATTCTCTACACGATCGATGGTGCTACCTCGACTGAAAGATGAAGTACCTAGACTAGCTGGCCACTTCAAATTGTGTCTACCAATTCAACTGCGCCTCTGGAGCGAGTTATATCGGCCGTTTCTCTAGGAACTCGATTTTCCGTGCTCGAGAACATCTCCCACTATGGCTAAGTAAAGGTGTAGTTAAAACCATTAACAGTTTGATACTGGACTATCTGGTGCAAACCGGCCACAAAGCCAGCCAGCCTGGAAGAATCCTTCCCTATAATCTACCGGGTGCCTAATAAATGGCCAAAATCATCGAAGCACCGCATGCTCCAAACGGCAGAGGCTATTGCAATTCGCCTCAAACAACCAGTGCTCCCTGTGTTCAAAAGAAGCAAGTCCAGCCACTACTTCTGCCCTGACCAGCCTTCAGTGGAGAGTATAAATTCATGAATTTGTAATATTATCTTTCCTAATTTTTCTGACACTCAGTTCATTGTTATGTTGATGTTACTGAGCTGTAATCTATCAATATTATTGATTCGATGTTATTAAAACAGCATTAATGTTGTTCATAACACTAATTCATTCATTCACTATAATGTATATATAACTGTAGAGCCTGATGATGAAGTTATCGAAAACAGTACTCTTTGTTCAGTATCTATTCTTTATACAATATACACAAACGTTAAGAGTAAAAAATAACTTACAATATTGGTAAAATTAGTATTGTTCCAGGGAGTGGAGCAAGAATTAATACAGGAGAAATACGCATCAAATCTTTGGGTACCTAGATGGATAAAAGGAAAATTCAGCTTTACGAAAAGAAAAGCATATTACACTAATTTTGGGAAATACTATCCAGTTTGTGTGACAACATGAAACATACTGTCTCCAGCCAATTCTCTCCCTACAAGTTTAAGAAAATGTCTTCAAATAACGACGGAGTCCTCATGTACTGTAATCTCTTTGACAAATTAGTAAGGTGCCTGTTCAGTAGAATCCAACGAATATGCACCGAAGACACATTTGATGAAGAAGAAAGAAAGTTGATACAAACTCTGGTTGATAACAATTATCCAGACAAGTTCATCAGGAGATATAAAGTAGTCAGTGGAACACCAAGACCCACTCTACAACACTTATGAATCATCTCGAAGAGCGGGTTCATATTCTACTCGCCGTCGACGTCGTTCATTAATCACCGGTTCACGTATGGATTCCGTAAATCAGAAGAAAGGGAGTAAAGATTCTGAGAGTTTAGATGGTCTGAATGACTCGGAAGAATCGAATGCAGCAAAACGTTTAGTGCAGGACATTTTGGCTCTACGTAGTGAACAAAAAGAATCTGGATTTTTAAGATTCCCGTTAACTGAGACGTCAATGTTGAATACTTCGGGTTGGAGAGCTTTTCGCTGTTTAGATAATTTAGATTTACTGGCATACACTGAACTACAAACCCTACAAACTGTCGAAAACATTGGGACTGATTTAGAAAGGCAACTTGATTGCATCAATTCTCAAGCCACCCCTTTATTCTCTAGAAATTCTTGGTTTTATAGTATACCTACAGATTCTGTTAACATAGCAGGAGGTTCGCAGTCGTTAGCAGCAAAAAATCTTTCTTTAGCTATTCAACTCAACAGAGCTATGGAATATGTCAGAGGTATTTCTCAACGCAAACGATATATGCTTGATTCACTTCAAAGAATGAGTTCTGTAACGAAAAACTTGATTACTCATTTCAGTCTTTCTATTAATCAGATTATTGAAGAGCTAGAACGTAGTGCTAATAATTCTTCAAAATCTCTTTCGCCATCATCATCTTCAAAAACAAATTTAGATTCCAACACTGTCTCCAATTCATTGAATTTACGAAGATCTTGTCGAAAACATTCACCTAACAATACTAGTACTAATGTACGACAAGTTCGACGTCGAGGTACAGCAGCAGGTAGCAGTACTAGTAGCTCGAAACATTCAGCCTCGCTAATTAAGAACTCATCAAATACTTGTCCAGGAACAAGTTCTCAAGGACCTATTTGCAATGGTGAAAGCAGTAATTACTCTATACTTCGTTAGTTGCAATATTTTTGAATATAACAAAATCGTCAAAAACGACAAGCAAGCTTCAACCAATAAGCATTTCATCATTTGCCTAAAGATATGCATAGATTAATATATTGAACCGTTCAAGTGTGTTAAACAAACAACATGGATTACAGTTTTTAGATAGAAAAAATACTAATACTACTAACAATAATAATGCTATATACATGTAGCAACGCAAAAACAAACATAAACACAGATGACAGAGATTATTTAGTAAACACACATACGCACACAGAGATATATATAGAAAAAGAGGCGTAGAGTTCTAGGTAAACAGGGGAAATCAATCGACGAAGTCGTGAAGCTACAAAGACTGAGATGGTTAGGACATGTGTTACGTATGCCAAGCCATCGCCTCCCTCGACGAGCAATGTTAGCGGATATAGGGTCAGGCTGGAAAAAAGCTAGCGGCGGTCAAACAAAAACTTGGCATCAGTCAATGAAATCCACAACAGTTGGTCTAAGCCACGTAGAAAGGTGTAGACTTCCAGGCTGGGGTCCTCGGGACGGTAAAAATCTATGGTTGGAAACAATTGGTGACATGGCTGAAAATCGTTCTCAGTGGCGCAGATGCATCCACTCCCTGTGACTTATGATCTTCAATGAAACTGTTTTGTATTTCTTTATTACTCCTTTGTCTCACACCTCTGCTCACTGTTTCTATTATGCTTTTCTTGTACTTTCTTCTCTTGCTTCGCGTGCTACACGGAATGTGGCGACTTGAACTGGCGCACATTTGTGCAAAGTTCTATGTCGAAAACAGACAGACAGACAGACAGACAGACTCTACAACTCGCCCCTAAGAAAGGCGTGTACATCAAGCTACCCTATATGGGGCATCAAGCAGCTTGATAACTAGACAAAGGTTGAACGCTGCTGTTAAAAAGACTTTTTTATGCAGCTAATATCATAATAATAGAGAATGTAAAGCCATTATATCTATCTAAGACCTTCGAACATGCGAAAAATGATGTCACATCCCACTGTACTTACCAATTTGAATGTACGTATGGACAAACATACATAGGGAGGACTCATCGATCTCTGTAAGTAAGGGCTTCATAGCATATTCCTACGTGGCTCCAGAAACAAATGGAATCTTCAGAATCCATTAATGGTGAGAGCAGGAGACCCAGCTCTTCTATTGCGAAACATATTATAGAGACAGGACATACAATTAACGTTAACACATCTTTTAAACCTATCTATAAAACGTGTTTGGGACGTATCCTAAAGTTTGCGGAAGCCCTGGCTGGCAATTAGAAAGTTTAAACCACCTTCGTGCGTTCCAAAACAATTCGTCATCACATTAAACCTTCTACGGTAAACTTTGTTTTGATACCATAGCAGATGTACTATTGCCTCTGCTATTTGGTTTAGTGGTCTTCATTGGTCTTGATTTGACCTTGAATATGTCCTTTTAACTTGATCTAACTTGTCTATTTCCTCACCTCTTACCTCTTTATTAATTTTATATATATATATATATATATATATATATATATATTCCTATGACAAGTCCGTGTGTGATCAGATTGTTCGAAATGTGTTGTGAGCGCAAATACATTACACGATTCAGACAAATTACGTCTTCTTATTGCTTTGTCTAAATTCATTAAAGGAACTAATTGTTTTAAATTTTTAAAGAGAAAACTCCCTCCACATACTATCAAAAGGTTAAATGAACTTGTTAACCTTAGGTGTAAAATTATCATCGGATGTAACACGTCGGAATTTTATGAATTATGTATTAAAAATCATTCCTTCCCGAGGCAATTTTATAAAACTTTGAAATCCAGTAAATTACAACTAAATATCTCTAATCTTGTTCGTCTTACAGTCATATATTGAAAATGTTAGAAAAAGGTTACAAGGACTACTTGTTCTTTATACCGATGCGTCACTTATTTTATCTGAATTGTCTGTCTCTGTCTCTGTCTGTTTTCGACATAGAACTTTGCACAAATGTGCGGAAGTTCAAGTCGCCACATTCCGTGTAGCACGCGAAGCAAGAGAAGAAAGTACAAGAAAAGCATAATAGAAACAGTGAGCAGAGGTGTGAGACAAAGGAGTAATAAAGAAATACAAAACAGTTTCATTGAAGATCATAAGTCACAGGGAGTGGATGCATCTGCGCCACTGAGAACGATTTTGAGCCATGTCACCAATTGTTTCCAACCATAGATTTTTACCGTCCCGAGGACCCCAGCCTGGAAGTCTACACCTTCCTACGTGGCTTAGACCAACTGTTGTGGATTTCATTGACTGATGCCAAGTTTTTGTTTGACCGCCGCTAGCTTTTTTCCAGCCTGACCCTATATCCGCTAACATTGCTCGTCGAGGGAGGCGATGGCTTGGCATACGTAACACATGTCCTAACCATCTCAGTCTTTGTAGCTTCACGACTTCGTCGATTGATTTCCCCTGTTTACCTAGAACTCTACGCCTAACCTCAATGTTGCTCACCTTATTATGCCACTTTACACGGGAAATAGAACGCAGGCACCTATGATCAAAGACAGCTAGTCTTTTCATGTCTTCCACTCTCAGTGGCCAGGTCTCACAACCATAAAGGAGGACGGAGCGGACTGATGAGCAGTACACCCGCCCTTTGGTCGATAGTCGAACATCTCGTCTACGCCAGAGTCGGCGTAAACTAACAAATGCGAAACGAGCCCCTTGTATTCGTGCTGAGATTTCGTCAGAGATCAGCCCGTTGGGGCTGATGGTACTTCCCAAATAAGTGAAGCGGTCAACGTGCTCTACCACTTCACTTCCTATTTTTAAACTAGGCGTCGATGTAGTCCAGTCCTGTAACATCATCTTGCATTTGGCGGGAGCGAATCGCATGCCAAACATTCGTAGATTGCGGCTCAAGGTGTTTAGAAGACTCTGCATTTCGTCAGCGTCTTCGCCTAGAAGGACTATATCGTCTGCATATTCCAAGTCAACGAGATTATTCCCCGGTAGCAAGTCAATCCCTGAGTCGCTGAAGTCACCTAGGGTTAAGTCCATTAACACATCTATGATGAAGTTGAATAGAAAAGGAGATAATGGGCATCCTTGACGGACACCACTGGTCGTCATCAGTTCAGATGACAGCTCGCCGTAAGCCCTCACCTGGCTGTATGAGTACGAATAGAGTGCCTTAATCAGTGCAATATATTTTCTTGGAATTCCCTTTACAGCCAAGCATCTCCAGAGAACTTCCCGATCGACAGAGTCGAATGCTGCCTTTAGGTCAAGAAATATAATGACTGTTGGACGCCGGTAGGAATGCCTATGTTCTAGAATCTGTCGGAGGGTGAAGATATGATCAATACACCCTCTTCCTGGTCTAAAGCCTGCCTGGCTCTCTCGTGTTTGTGCTTCCCGAGCACCACTCAGTCTACGCATGATTATTGAGCCTAAGACTTTAGATACTATATTAGTCAAGCTAATCCCTCTGTGATTATCACAGGAAGACTTGTCTCCCTTCTTGTATATGGGGATAATCAGTGACTTACACCAACCCGATGGGACTTCTTCTGATTCCCAGACGCTGCCTAGTACCTCAGTTAATCCGGACAGTAAGCTGTCTCCACCGTACTTAAATACCTCTGGAGTCATTCCATCAGGTCCCGCTGCTTTGCCTAGTTTCAGATTGGTGACAGCTTTAGTAACCTCAGTTAGTGACGGAGGACCTGTGTCTATATCCCATTCAGGGAGGTGTTGGATGCTCGGAAGGTTGAGCGTGGCTGTGGGCAAATTAAACTGCTCCTCATAATGCTCTTTCCAACGATCCAGTCGTCTATCCTGTGAGCTAATTATAGTGCCATTTTTTTCCGAGATTGTCTCACTAATGATTTGTCTTCTCCCACCCGTTTCCCTGATGAGTCCAAAGAGTTGCCTGGTGTTGCCTATCCTCAAAGCTTTCTCCATCTCTTTGGCTTTTGTCGCCCACCACTGTTCACGGTCCTTGCGGAGACTTTTCGTAAGTTTCCTCTTGTGCAGCTTTCGCTCCTCATTGAATTCGGAGCTCGCCGGAATAAGTCTTCTAGCATCTATCAGTTCGGATGAGGCGGTGGAGATCCAGTGGTTTTTACTCACCTTTGGGTTTACCTTATTCACAGCTTTTACAGCTGTATCTATGGCTGCCTGGATATTTTTCCAAGCTTCTTCAGGGTGAGCACAGCTGTCGAACACAGATATGTGTTTAGCTAGTTCTTCCTCAAATACGGATTTAGTTTCCTGATCGAGCTGGGGACGTGATGGTTTTACCGCCAGCTGTTTCCTACTTCCGTTCAGTCGTAAGCACACCCGAGCGCGGACCAGTGCATGGTCGGTATCTACGCACGTGTTCCAGAAGGAGCGACAATCTCCTACCGACCCACGCCAACGATAGCTTATTGCTATGTGGTCTATTTGTGTCCAGCGTTGGTTTGATGAAGGGGGTCTCCAAGTCAAACAGTGTCTCTCCTTGTGTTTAAAGTTAGTGCTTACAAGAAACAAATGATTATCAGAGCAGAACTGTAGGAGACGGTCACCGTTGTCGGTTCGCTGGCACGGAGCTCCATAGGTGCCACCGACATCCTTCTCAGATTGACACAATTTCCCTACTTGAGCGTTAAAGTCACCAGCTAGAACGACTATGTCTGAGCGTTTAGCCTTTCCACCAAACTAGACAGCTTTTGGTAGAACTCATCCTTCGTTTCATCTGAACTGCAGTCAGTGGGGGCGTAGGCGGAGATTACGAAAAGGCATCGGCGAGTAGTGCAGTCCTTCCTCCTTCTTACTGATCCGTTCAGGCGGACAGCACACATTCGGCTATCTACCGGGATCCAGTCAAGCAATGTCTTTTCTGCCCTAGTACTCAAAGCTATCCCTACGCCAGCTAATCCTCGTGAACTAGCTGTGGCATCTCCTGACACCCTCAAGGTGAATTTTGCAGATTCAACCTGTTGGCCAGGTGGGGTTAGGTGAATAACCACACTTGGGTCTTGTATGCGTGTTTCTGAAACACAGCATACATCAATGGCTCGTGATGCCAGGGTCTTGGCTAGTGATGCTTGTTGTCCTATTTGGCAAAGTGTCCTAACATTAAGAGCTCCTATATGAAATTGGTGGCGCGGCTTTAAGAGGCTGTCGGTGGTGGTTTTTTGGCTTCCATCGTTTTTAGTGGACGCAGAGTGGAGAGGAAGTGGAGAGCTATCAAGTCGAGGAGTTGCATCAGTGGAAGGAAGGCAAGATGATAGAGATGAAGATGAAGACAAAGATGAGTGAGTAATAGAGAGGTTTCGTGTGCATTTCGGATTGTGAGGGCGATTGTTACTTCCCGGCTGCCCACACCGTGGAAGTTGGTTGCGTGACCGCAGAGCCCAGGGGACAACTGCTTGAGGCCGGTCACACGCGGCCTGTTTTTGTTCGTTCTTTTTTGTTTGGTGTGTCTCAGTAGCAGATTTATCACTCCCGCCCTGTGACACGGCAGCAGGAAGCGCGGTCGTTGTTAATCCGGGCCACGGCCGATCCGGCATGAAATTTTGTAATTTTGTATTGGACATGATGTTGGATTGGGTAGCTGCTTTTTGTTTAACCGCTATCCAAACAACCTGCCTGGCATGGTAGAACCTCAAGAGACATAAGTCTCAGCCAGTATAGCTTGAATAGGTCATTGCGGTGTTCAAGCCCGACCACCACGTCAAGGTAGCAGCTTTCGGTCGGGATTTTATCTGAATTACCAATAATATGCCACATGAAATCTATTCAATTCAGATCTTATATGGGTTACACACCTACACGCTCGTAATTGATTCAACAAGTTTCCAAAACTGTATTCCTTATTTCTGGTATCTTAGAAACGAAACTAATGAATTAAAGCAAAGCAAAAGAAGTCTTCTACTTTGAATGTTATGTTCAGTTTTTATCTCACAGTGCCCAACAATGTCATCAGTAAACGAAAGAAACCAGATTATTTCATGTACTCATATGAAATGATCAACGCGTCGGCCTCCTAACCTATGGATCCTGGGTTCGCCCCCCCCAATGGAGTCATAGGTGCGTACTGATGAAAAGGCCCAAACTGGGACGAGACAGATGTTCTCAATACTGCCTAGTGTTTGATAGTCCTCTCACTGAAGTTAGTTCGTGATCAAACTTGACATTCAATTCAGCCTAAAGGGTGAAATTGACGATCAACTCAAAAGAACCTAAGATCGAGCACTTCGGTCCAATCAATCGACGGGAAAATCTCAAATTCAATCAAATCATTAATATGACCCGTTGGACAAGAGGTGGCTCCCGTGGCCCAAGTGGTCCAGTGGATAACGCTTTGGCGTTTGAAAATATGGGCACTAGGTTCGAGCCTCGGTGGGAGCATCATCACTCACTGAGAAATTCAAGCACTTCCAGATGACGAGTCCAAAATAGGACGAAAAGCGCATCCTAGATCCCACTGCTAGTCACCATCCACCAATTAAATACTAATCAAAAGAACTATCCTCAATATTCACATAGAAAGTCGGCATAAAAATTATGATGGTTAATTGAACAACACTTCAACACCGCATATCACAAAGAAGTAGTTTAAAAATGTCACTGACCAAAAAGACTCAATCTACAACCATAAACAATTCATGAAGTATAGAGTTATTTTTTTTAGGCTATGTAGATTTTTCTATCAATAGACAGACATCCTGTAGAAAAGATTATGGATTCATTGTCTGACAAACTGGTAACGAAAATAGACAGAAAATTCCAATATCGAATCATCGAAAAAGACGTAAAAGCGAACAGTTTTACCACCAATAGTGAACAGGTAATTTTTAGAACTAATAAAATACTGATGACAGAGTTCCAGAAAATGTACAGTATCGATAAAACCAAGTATCCTAAAGCTTTTGAGAGAACCTTTGTCAAAATTACACATAGCCAAATTCAAAGACATTACGTCACACATTAAATCAGGTCGATGCTAGACGCTCCCGTTTGCTTGAACAGAGCATCTCAAGAAATTCATGCACTGCAAAAACTATACATAGGAGCCTCATATTTATATGAATAAGACTACTCAAATGTGCCACAGACTCTCATTCAAATCCAAGCCCTATCCACTTCGTCCGAAATTCTACAGTGTATCCAACTAAATCAATAAACTGCAAACGAAAGTCCATTCTGAGAATGTAGTCTCCCAGAGTATTCACTTATCGCAGAACTCTGGAATAGATCTTGAACAGTGCCATGCTACGAGTACATACACACACACAACTTAGTCGTCGTTATCTCTTAATGAAAGCAGCTTGCACCACTCTAAAACAATAAGGACACAATGCTCGTTCGTTCAGACAAAGGCAATACACCTCCAGAGTTCACTACTGTAACAAATTCCAGATTAGAAAGTAAGGAATAAGACATGGCATATTAATATATGTGTAAAACTTGGGCACACTGGTAGTAAGTAATTTCAAATTAGTGTTATATTTCTAATAAACAAACTAATGTGGATAAGACATGGCCACTGAAAGTAGAAGACATGAAAGGGCTAGTTGTCTTTGATGATAGGTGCACACGTTCTATCTTCCGTGTTAACTGGTATTATAAGGTGAGTAATATTGAGGTAAGGCATTAATCGATTGCTAGGTAAGGAGAGGAAATCAATCGATGAGGTTGTGAAGTCACATCGATGAAGATGGTTAGGACATGTGTTACGCATACATGCCTAGCCATCGTCTCCCTCGACAGTGATTTCTTAGCTGACATACGATAGATAAGGTTGGAAAAGAGTTAGCTAGTGGCGGTGGTCAAACCAAAACATGGCTTCATCAGTCAATGAAATCCACAACAGTTAGTTTGAGCCAGCCAGTCACGTATGGATGTGTAGACTAGCTTTCTACTTGGTGTCCTCGAGATAGTAAAAACCGGTGACTGGAGACAGTTGGTGATATGGCTCCAAATCGTTCTCAATGGCTGGTGAAGATGCATTCACTTTTGTGATTTATCATATCAAATAAATTTCGGCTGTTCTTCCATATCGCTGTTCTATTCCCCTCATAATTTTGTGTACTATCTCCCTCTCTCCCTTTTTGAATCTCGTTTTACTCTCTCCTGTTGCTCTGTGCGCTGCATGAAGTGGAGTGTGACAACTCGAAATGCTGCAGATATGTGCGAAGTTCTACATTGAAACCAGCCAGTCAAAATAAGTTGTCATATTCCGCATACGACATAACAGACCTATTTAGTTAAAGCACCCACCACTTTGGTTTGAAAAACACTTTTTACATTGTAGTGTTTGTAGGAAAACAATACATCTTCTTAGTAAATGATTTCCTTAGGTAGGTAGCCAGGCATACATTGTTTGTTCTTCTCGATAACACAAAACTTGATTTTAAGTAAGAGAAACGTTAAATCCCCTACGATTGTACACCATTACAAAGTTCTCTTGCAAACAAGCAACATAAATAAAAAATTAAAAAAAGTAAAATTTATTGAATGTATAAATCCCAAAAAAATCACTTCAGTCGACTACTACTAAACATAATTTTAGTTAACAATTATATAGTACATAAAAATGGCATTAATTCATACCTGACGTAAAACATACACTTGATGTCGGTTTAAAGTTGGTAATAACTCTACAACTGGTCGGGAACAAAGAGTGATATGAGTCATCAGTTGGCCAAGATCACTGACATCCATTAACGTCGAGTGTACACCTACAGAAGAAAGAACATTCAAAAACTAAAAATATATCACAATTTTGCTGTGTATGGACTTCAGTTCGAATCAGGGTTTTTTTTCGTCGGACTTATTGTTATTATTTAATTTTATTCGTCAATAATTTTCATTTATTGATGATAATACATATCAAATAATCAAATTAATATGGAATTACATGCTACAATAGTACTATATATATATTAGATGGTTGGAGGCAATCGGCAGGAAGCCTTGCTTCACATAGGTTTCGTGCTAGTCGGCACTCACCAGTCAGCGAGGCGTATCTGCAGTCTTGGAGCAATTCATATCCCTTCTACGATTCGAACCTGAGTCACCCAGTGCCACCTGCAGTCAGAGACGTTACCACTGAGCTATTCGGGCCCGCGATTGACCTCCTGTATGACTGTATGCGATACTTTGACTGGACACTAGCAAATAATGGTGACCACATTGCAAACGTGACTGATAGAATTCAGTCTGAACCAAAGAAAGGACTATTTATTTATTTTATTTTTGATTACAGCTTGATTCCACACTGTATTTTTGGTACAAGTATGGAATTTTCAGCATGGATATCGGTAGCCCAAATTTTGCAGGCCGACCATAGATATCAGGTGTGCGCCGGCGTGGGCTCGAACCCCGGACCATGTGCATGGTCGGCGAGAGTCCTAACCACTGTGCCACCGACGCACATATATATATATATATATATATATATATATATAACGCGACTTTCACCCTTACATGGCTTGTGAGATTCTGTACTGCTCACAGTATAATAGGAGGCGATAATACCCTGGGCTCATGCTCTGTAAAACTTGCCCTTCTTGCTGTACTATTACACAATATTACTAATTCACTCAGAATGGATGAGTATTAAGTGGAGTGATGAGGTCCTAAGGCACTTCATAACATTCATAACAAAGTATATTCCGTGACAATATTTCAACCTGAATATTGAATAAACTGAATAGATCATACTCTGTGCTGATTGTAGTCCGTCTATCACAGTACACACAGATTTATCCATCAAAGTGGATACAGATTCACGCGATTATATTTATTCACAGTTCGCAAAAAATCCTTATTAGGAAGGCACCTATACGACTCACTATTTTAATGGTCTTAATATATAACCATTTAACATGAGTCATTGCCGTTGAATGTTTCGATTTAATATTGTTAGACATTCCATGAACCATAAGTTTTTCTTTACACCAACAAACCTGCTAAGTATTAAAACGATACAGAATTACTTTTTTTACTCAAAGAATCCTAAGTTCTTGCAGTACACCCTTTTTTACACCAAACTAAAATTAATAGAATAAACTGAACCAACTTAATAATTAACTTAACTAAGCCTCTTACCAGGCTAGGTCGCTAATTTTTGCTTCTCTATTGTGCTTGTAATATGCAAATCCTCAGAGTCCGTAGTTCAGACATACTAGCCAGATGAATCCTAAAATCTTTTATTCTATTGAAATATGTTGTTATTCTCAAGCATAGGTTTGTAGGGATTTGATTGTTTAGTTACAGGATTTCATCATAAGCTGAAATCGGTTAGAGAACCATTGGAAAACCTGACAAAAACTGGACAGCTGCTTTTTTGTCCTGGCTCTTTGGGACTCTTCGTCAGTAAGAACCCACTGAGGATCTAAACCAGGACCCTCTGATTACAAGGCTGGGGATCTCGTAGACCATTAAGCCACTGGGACCCAATCCGATGGCCAGACCATGAATTCTAACTTCTGCAAATTCACGACATAGCACGACCAATCAAACAGAATCCCTACAAAACCAATGCTTGAAAATTCATCTGATGCTCACTAGCGACTCACCCTATTCAGGCAGTTACCTGAGGTTGTAGTTGAAAGTTGTGACTAGTAGGGTACAGCAGGTTGGAGGTGAGAACAGATGCTCATTCAAGAAGACACTGTGAAGTGGTCGTGAACCCGCAGAAGTTAGAATTCATGGACTGGCTATTGGATTGGATCCCAGTGGCTTAACGGTTTATAAGCTCCCCAACCTTGTAATCAGAAGGTCCTGGATTCGAACCTCGGTGGGTGCTCACTGGTGAAGAGTTTCAAGCCAGGACGAAACGGTTGTTCAGTACTCCCGGATTTCTCAATGGTACTTTAACTGATGTCAGCCTATGATGAAATCCCCCAACCCAATATGTTGTTCATCAGAGTATATCTCCAAATAACTGTCTTGCATTTTTTTTCTTTTCACCAATATTTGCAGGTTATGTAGTGTATTGATTAAGTAGGTAATTAAGTAAGTCGCGTTTAATAAAGCTGGTATAGGGTAACATGCCGATAACACAACAAGTAGTTTATATTCGAATCCCCTATGCATAATAGCCAATACCGTTTGACAGTTATATTCTTTTCCACAGTTTGGTTTGTAAGGGTTAGTAATGTTTTTACGAGTTGATCACGGATTGATATCAGCTAGAGAACCATTGAAAATCAGGGAGTACTGGACACCTGTTTTATCCAGATGTCATGTGTGAGGATGGATGTCCCACCTACGACAATGGTTGGGGTGGCGCTAAATCATAAATTGATAGAAGTTAGAATTTATGAGCCATTGAACCGGGTACCAGTGGCTGAATGGTATACGAGCTTGCCTTGTAACCGGAAGGCCTTGTGTTCGAACTCCGTTTGTGGGCGCGTACTGTCGATGATTCCCAAACTAGGATGAAACAACTGTTCAGTACTCCCTGGTTTTCGATGGTTCTCTAATTGATATCAATTAGTGATCAACTCGTAGAAATAACTAATAAACTAACACAAATTAGAATACATTAAAACGGTCAACACACTGTTTGGCTATGCGTTTTGAAAGTAAACAAAATAAGATAATAAAATGATACAAAGCTTACCTTTTTTGAATAATGTATAATTACGAAAAGATGAAGCATGTTTATCAGCCCATTTTTTCTCCAGAAATGTGACCAATTTTGTATATCCTTTCACAACACTAGTTAAAGCTTTCACAATATACTTCTTAGACATTATATAGAAATAGTTGATAGCTAATACCACTACCACATATAGACGACCAGTTATTTTTATTTATCAGTTAAACAACATTGAAAATTTGAGTGAGTAGCGTACAAGGAAGCTAGAAAATAGTTGGGAAAAAAGAAACTATGTTGAATATATATTCAAAGAATTGTGTCACAATCCGTGATGTGATGTTTTACAATGTGGACTTCAGAATTAACAACTAATTCCAAAAACAACAAACTGTGATTAAGTTCATGACTGACTATTCGTCGTATTTTTTTCAGTTCAAGTGTCATTGTTAGCTGCCTTGCATATGACAGTGGTTCAACGAGTCATAATCACTGGGACGAATGTTTCTAAAAGTTCCAGTAGTTCACAAAAGTTGGCTGGGCAACAGTTATAACTTAAAGCATTTGCTATCACAGTGTAACCTGCTTACATTACCACATCTCGAAACAGACCAAATGTCGGCGGTATCTACCTTCTAGGCCACAGCATAACGCATAACTAATCCTTTTCCTGTAGTAGTACAATAGAAGAAATCAAATTATACAGTGTCGAAGTAACTGCTATAACCATAGAAATCCCTTCTGTTCGACATCTATTCTCTTTATCTTCTTGATTTCTGTCTACTGCTAACAGTTTCTTCAATTTGCCTTAACTCTGTGAATCCTGCCAGCTACTTAGGTCAGAAAAACACCATCCCTGTGTTCATCTGAAACTATGCTATCACCTTTATTTTGAAGCTTCCAACCTACTGAGCTAATGTCCAATCAGACAACAGGTCACATTACCCAAAACTCGAGCATCATCTCCAGCTTTGGATGAATGCTAAATCGTTGAAATACTCGTAAAATACTTCAGTATACTTCTAGTGGTCAAGTTATTCACCTCACCTGACTAACATTGCGAATCTATAAAATCCAAATTAAGGATTTCAGGAGATGCTTTATCAAGCCCTTGTGTAATCTCTCTGCTCTATACGGATACCACAAAACCCAAGAGCAAAATATTCAATGTTCTGTTGGATTCTAGTGGATAGTCATCTGCGTTGCCCGGCTCAAAGGATTTATAGGGATCAAAAAAAAGGAAAACTGGGATTCAGTTGCAGCATGTGATATTAATGCTCAGGAAACGAAGTCAAGCCAATCGAAACAGTATATTGGTAATATTCATGGAGTTCATGTCTAAGAAGCAAAGACGGTGACTACCTATCGGAATATTTTTTTACAGATAACTATCTGGTAAGTAGATTTCTGTAACCATGCATAAAAACTTGATCGAAGTAATGAAACTCATCCAAGCAAGCTACAAACATGATGAAAAGAGAAAGATCCTTGAACATAACACAAGCTGACTAAAAGTCTTCACAATAATTGCAGATAAAGATGAGTGACAAGAGGCAAAGAAATCGGTACTAGTAGGCCCTAAAAACATCTATGCGACCCAAGCAATTTATGAGTAGAATGGAACTTCCAAACTTATTTCAGAAAAGGCAGATGGAAGATTGAGCAGACTAACCTATTTAACACATACTACAGTTATTCTGAGTAAGGTGCAAACAACTGTAGCTCACATTACTCAGTTGTCAACAATCTCAAAAACGAAGTAAACTATCAGAAGTTGATAGCTTGACTCTAGGTATATTTAAGAATAGATAGAGAATAAATCTTCCCGTAATAACTACAAAGGAATCACCCATATATTAATATTGTATCCAAAGTTTCATAACCATGATAAAATTAAGCAGAGTAGAGAGTTGGGAAAATGAGTCAACCAGACAGCTTTTAGACTCGGAAGAAGAAGGTAAATTGATTAAATATTCACTCTTCGACAGAGATGCTCAAACACTTGAACCGCATCATTTAACTCCGTCGATCAACAGTTGTTAGTTATAGTAATGTTCGACTATGGGAGTTACGAGAACGTCACTGTAATCGAAATCACGCAGTCGCGCAAGAGTTTATGCATCAAATGGAAAACACTCATAGAAAGTTTTCTCCTGTTCTAACAGAAAATTACTATCTCGAGTGATGACAACTAGTGATGTCTGTCGGGGATGTCAGTTGCATCATTCTAGTGTAATCTCATCATAAATTTATACCGGTGAGTGTGACCCTGATTAACTACTATGTCTCAATAATTGACTCGATATAGAAGGGTAACTCTCCTTGACTTGGAGTACACAGATGTTACAGCTCATTTACATAAAGATGCCGACGAAATTCAGTCTTTTAAATATCATAGGCTAAGTCTGATCATGTTCGACATGTGACCTTCACCAATCAAATGCAGGACTGGTCTGTGCTCAGTCCTATACTTTGTGTAGAGAGGATGAAACGACTGAATGTATCCACCACTGAACTTAGTTGGAGGGTATTATTGATCAATTTAATCAACTGGTTGCTAACGTAATATCGCTTCAAATTCACTAACTTGTTCAAGTGTGATACCTACCTAACTATCTCACATTCGTTTATTGTCTCCTTCACAGTTATAGAAGACACACACTTTAGGCTGATTATATAAATAACTCAAACTTTATACCATATGTGCCTTTTTTAAAAAGTTGCTCAGGTTATATGTATAAATATATATATATATATATATATATATATATATATATATATATATATATATATATGGTACGGCCAAAGGTGGTTAGACTCCGGTTTTCGTCTTGAAATGCTCTCACATGGCTTCTACCAGATAAGTTCTACCACTGTATTCACGCGAAGGGGGTATTCCTCACAGAAGTGAGAACGTCTGGACCAGACTGGTGAATATGCAGATCTACCTACAGGAACCGAAAACTCTTGGTTCCAAATATATGATGTGCATGAGCTCCAGAATCCTGATGAATCTGTTTCGGTCACCATCAACCATGGGAACGTAGCGCCTTATGCTGCCTTGCGGATCGATCTTCAAGTTAAATGTTCAAGCAGTGACCCCTTAAGACAACCACTAGCTTCGGTCTGACCGTCCATGCAGTATTCCAGCCCTCATACAGACTATGAGACTTTGTATGGTGCTCATACTGTGCCAAGATTGTATTTTAATAATGATAATAATAACTTCGACATAAGTCTGTAACAATTTAGATAATAAACAATTCAATCAGATTTACCCTCTTCCATGTTAGAAGTTATGTGAAGACAACTGACTAACTGGCTGAATGGTATCAACGTAGAACTTTACACAGATGTGCAGCAGTTCGAGTTGTAACACTCCACTCCACGTAGCACACAAAGTAGAAGACAGTAGAGAGAGATTCAAAAGAAAGAGAGATAAAACACAAAACTATGGGGAACAAAACAGCAGAAATTTATTTGATGTGATAAGTCACAAAAGTGAATACATCTGCACCAGCCATTGAGAACGATTTGGAGCCATATCACCAACTGTCTCCAGTCACCGGTTTTTACTATCCCGAGGAAGCTAGTCTACATATCCATACGTGACTGGCCGGTATAAACTAACTGTTATGGATTTGACTGACTGATGAAGCCATGTTTTGGTTTGACCACCACCACTAGCTAACTCTTTTCCAACCTGATCTATCCTATTTTAGCTAAGAAATCACTGTCGAGGGAGATGAGGACTAGACATGCATGCGTAACACATGTCCTAAACATCTCCATCGATGTGACCTCACAACCTCGTCGATTGATTTCCTCTTCTTACCACCCTATTATACCACTTAACACGGGAGATAGAACGCAGGAACCTATAGTCAAAGACAACTGGCCTTTTCATGTCTTCCACTTTCAGTGGCCATGTTTCACAGTCATAAAGGAGGACGGAGCGGCCTGTTGAGCAGTTTACTCGTCGTTTGATAGACAGTCGGACGTGACATCCGACCGTCTACGCCAGAGAGGGAGTAGTAAGTTAGCACTTTGTTTTAATAATAATAACTTTTAAAGGCTGGAATCAAAAACAGAAATTCATTCACATAAAACAAAAGCAACACGTGAAAAGGGAAATACTTTATTTTACATTTTGAATAATAATAATGAAAATCAGATATACACATACAAATAATCTAATTGCAAAGCAGGTAAGTATACAATGCATTCAAAGGAAATCCCATACAAAAAAATAAATAAATAAAATATTATTCAATATTATGATTTCAAAGTTCCCATTGCTTTTTCTTTCAGTAATCTTTTACGATGTTTAGCAGTTCGTTTCTGATGTCCTTTACTTTTTAAATGAGCTTCCCAGTCATCCCTTTGTGTAAATATTCGACCTGAACATACTGAACAGATGAATGGTGATTGAATATCATCCGGAGTAGCAGAATAATCTGACTTGACCAGAGAAAATGGTTCTGGTGTAGGACAACAATTTTCAGGACAAATATCAAGGAAACTTTGTAGAAAATCGGTGTTTTTCAAGGCTTCAAAGGTAGAATCACCTACTTTCTTTAATTCATTGCAGATTAATCGGACAACTGGAGCAATAATTGAATTATTCCAAATATCTATTGATCCAGATTGTAGAAAGGTTGTCACGTCTATACGATAGACAGGAATACTACCTTCAACAGGTCGCCTTAGAAACCGATTTCTAATCCAAGAAACCTGAGGAGATAAATGTTGAAAAACAGAAATTTCGTCTAATATACGTGGCACAAAAGTGTTTGCCAAATAAAGAGAGAAACAAGGAAAAACACTGAGTGACAAATTAATATAGAACTTTTGTACGAGGGTGTATCAGGCTTACCCCTTCCAGATATTTGAAACACCACAAGAAAAAGAAACGAACACAAATAGAATGATATTACAAAGAAAAACAGACTATGTTAGAGCTCAATATGATTTTTCACATGAGATTACTGGACAAACTAAGGCATCCGTCATCGGTGGCTGGCATATAAACGCAAAAACAGTACGAGGGAGTCAAACTCAGATCACTTACACAGGTCTTATTTTAAGTCATTTGCGACCGGTAGCTTCCTAAGTTTGTCGATGTGTACACATGTATGTTAAACTACTTCGAGCAATACCCGGAGATAATCAAGACAGATTATAATGAAGAGCACGAGTGACTGATAGATCGATAAGATATCTTCTACAATTAATTAATCAAATTCGTCGTTTGAATTGAATTCGTCGACTCAATAAGTGATGCTAATGTATCCGGGAAGAAAATGATATCCATGGATGTTACTTCGCTTTTCACCAACGTTCCCCTCACTGAAACTATTTGCTTTATATGCAAATTCATTGAGAATAATAAGGTAGACTGTGTGCTCCGATTCACTACTTAAAGGAACTACTATTGAAGTGCACTTTGAATCTCCAATTCAAGTTCAACAACACGATTTACAGACAAAGAGATGGAGTGGCAATGGGGTCACCATTGGGTCCTTTACTTGCAGACTGCTTTTTGACAATTTCGGAGAATAATATTTTACGGCCTACTATCGATAGTTTCCATTTGTACCAAAGACACATGGATGATACTTTCATCATATGTGACGACAATACCGACATCGAATTGATAACTAAAGAGTTCAATAGCTAATATCAGTAAAAAGTTTGAGCATTGTGGATTAGATCAAATAAAGTATAATTATATTTTAATAGTTTACACACAATGATAAGTTTTGTTATTGGTAATATTTCGAGCAAAATTACTGCCCGTGTTCACACCACTGTTGGAATTGTTTTATTCTAACAAAACTTATCATTGTGTGTAAACTATTAAAATATAATTATACTTTATTAGTTCAATAGCTGCCATCATGCCATCCATTTCAAGTCAGAATCATAAACAAACTCGGAATTTCAATTTTTTGGATGTTTTTCTAATAAGAAGATTTGATGGTTCTCTTCTCTCGATCTACAGGAAGCCAACATGGAATGGTCAGTACACAAATTTCCATAGTTGGGTCCCTTTGAGAAGAAACAAAAATCTGATCCACTCCTTATCGTCAAAAATAAGGAGGATATGTTCCAGTGATACAATCGATGAGAAACTTGGGCAACTCAGACAAGTCCTCATAGATAATGGATATCCTCCAAGATTTATCGAGAAAAAAATATGAAGTTAAGGGGAAAGTCTGAAAGAACCCAGACGGTACCGAGGAAACTGCTATTTATGAATGTTGAATTTAAAGGTAATACCGCAGCTAAGATCCTGAAGAATCGCTTATGCAGATCACTGAGGGAAGCTTTCTTTGTGGCTGAGCTGCGTATCAATTTCTACAGCCGACAAATGATCAATGGATGTGTGAAGGATAAACTCCCGCTTCGGGCCACCTCAATGTGAGTTTAGAAATTTACCTGCTCGTATGGAGCTAGTTATATTGGCCGCACAAAGCGTACACTTTCCAAATGCATCTCTGAACATTATCCGGGATAGTTAGCAAAGGGACAATGCAAGACAATTACTAGCTCAATTCTTGAGCATTTAGTGAACTCAGGCCACGTAGCTCCACCAGAGTCGTCTTTCAAGATCATCTACAAGGTGAAACCGAATGGTACACAGGGCATCGGCTTTTGTGTATGACGGAGGCGCTGGCGATTCGTCAATACAACCCCAAATTCTGTATATAGAAAAAGTTTGTCCAGTCTCTTATTCTACCTTGGTCTGAACCTCTTCATTGGTCGTTCCATGTAAAAAAAATTTGATTTTTTTCTTTTCTTTTTAAATTTTAGTTTTACTTTAAGTTTGCTTTTGTTTTAATAATTAGTTCACTATTATCACTCTCATATGCCCCTTTTGTACATTTTACACCCCCTTCACACTTGTTAAATTGACACTCAAATACCTTTATTCTCACTCAAGAGCAATTTTAACCTTATCAGATTTCTATTTTTGTGCCGTTGAGTACCATGTAATTTACAACTTTTAATTTTCACTTCTAAAGCCACTTCTGAGTAATTATATAAATTATGTCACCCCCTATTATTCAATAATAGACCACTATATATTTTTTGTAAGTATAAATACGACTGTACAGCCTGTTAAAGAACCTTATCTGGAAGGAAAACAGTCATGCTTAACAAGTTCAAACAGAATTCGTCAACTGTCATCGGCAAGGGAAGAAAGAAGAAAAGCACCTATTCGCCTACAGTCTACTAGGTCGTAGTTTCGGTCATAACACTCAGATAAAACGGAGAACCTTTTTATCAAGTGATAATATCTTGAGACACAGCAGCTTCCATAGTTTTCACTATCTATCAACCTTGGAACGCTTAGGAGAAGATTAAGAAGCAGTTAACCCCGAAATGGTGTGTAGGATGAAGGATAGCTATGCTGAGCGTCCGCTGGTCTGAGAGATCACGTGGCTGAATGACCTCAGGTATTACTAGGATAAAAATAAGTGGTGAAAAATACTGCAGTTTTCCTTTTCTACTACGGAAAGTAGTAATGCATAACGAATGTAGTTAATAAGCACATTTACCTAATTCATTGTCGTCCCACTAACTACCACTCACTTTTGGCTTTATATTGTTTTTCAATTACAGTGTGGGGCTCCTTTGGCGCTCACACCATACCATCTCGGTGTAAACTTTCTGGCTGAGGTCTTTGAGACTCCAAGAATCAACAACTGCAGACTGGTAGTGAAACGGCTCAAAATCCCTCTCAGTGAGGCATGTGCACTCATGCTTTAAGGTCTCCAAAATCCATTATATTCTTATTATTCTCCACTTGATTATCACTTTCCACGTAAGTTTCCATTCACTACGGTTTCTTATCATTTCTGTTCTTCTTTTTTTCCTACACCTTTACGAGTGATTAAGAAGTGCGGCAACTGGAACTGTTGTACTTTCATGCATCATTCCAGGCTGAAAATTCAGTTTCAATCAGTTTAACATTAAATATAAAAACTAAGACCCACAAAAAACACTAACGAAAAACGGATATCTTCGTCTATTAAAACAAGTAAATCAGATGAGTACGCATATATCAAAAAATAAATCTGCTCACCTGACGGCGTGCATACTGACGAGTTGATGATTTAACATTCTCTGCTGCTTGATTCAACAAAACTTTCGCTTCTGGGCTATCACGTTCATTTGGTAACAAAGCCAAATAGTCTGAAAACTCTTTAAACCCAATACTCTGAAGTACACCACGACGAACTGAAGGATCTGAAACAGTCTCCAAGTCTTCAGAAAACATATTTCTCAACTTTTCCACTCGAATCTGTTTGTTGTCATCTGATTAAAATATAGAAAAAGAGAAGACGTTCAGCGAAGAGACTCTTTTCGATGGCGAATTCATTCACATAGCTGTACAATTTCATTTATATATAATTATCTGTGTGCGTGTGTACATGAGGTTTGTCAAGTTTAGATAATTGATCAGGTAATACAAGAATGATCTAATATAGGAACAAGGTTAGTCAGGAAGCAACTAAAGTAAGATTGAGTTAGTAAGTTAGATGACGTAATATATTCGACTAAAATGTTTCAACTTAGGTCAGGGTAGCAACAGAGGTAATTACAGGTTGAGAGAGACTAAGTAGAAGTGGGGTAGATAATAATGCCATTTAAATTAGAACTGAAATTAAGCCGATAAGTTGGATGACGTAACATAAATGACTAGAAATTGAGCGTTGGTCAGGTCAATTAAAGTGGTAGTGAGGTGTAGAAATTAAATCGGGTAGGGGTATAGAACAAGAAAGTTGAAAATGTAAAATATTACAATTGAGAAGACAAAATAATACGAATGAAGAGACAGAAGCTAAAAAGATTAGGTGGAATTTACTTGTCGGGTAATATGATAGATTAAGTCCATTGCAAGTGTAGTGATTGAACGAACTTCTTCTGTATGAAGAGTTCAGGACTTAGCAAATGAATCGCCATTGCTTCTGGAGCTTGAAGAAGTTTGATTCGCACACCTTTAGAAAGACTACTTCTTACTCTGTAGACGACTATGAAGTTTGTTTGGTGTGTAGCTTGGTGTCCGGATTCTATCAGATGTTCTAAGATGGAGCTGTGGGGGCATCGTTTTTCTCCTTTGTAAGACCATGTTGGTAAGTGTTCGGTGATACGTTTGGAAAGCAAACGCTGGGTACGGCCGACATACCTGACTCCACACGAGCAGGTGAATTGATAAATACACATTTATGAGGCCAGCAGTGATAGCTTATCCTTCACGTTCACATGAATCATAAGGTTTTGTGCAGAAGGTTATTCGTAGTTCAGCTACAAAGAAGGTCTTCCTGAGTGAGCACGACAGTCAAAGACGAAGAGAAAGCTATGGATATACACATGCTAGTGACAAAATAAAATTTTTTACGGCTAGACAACACTAATGGTGTACTAAAGATTTGGGGGGGAGGGAGTTACTAGACCCCATATCAAACACTCAGACTTTCTTTCACTTAGTTCTCTAACAACAGACCAGATTCGTTTTTGATTTGAACCAAGAGAAAGTGAACTCAAGCAAAAGAGAACGATGCCTTCGCAATACGGAATAATTTAGCCTTGAAGAGCAGTCCAACCGTTACAGAAGTCGATTAAAATCTTGTCATACTCAGTAATGCACTTAATCGTTAACATACATTTTTTTTATTCCTTCACGTCCGCAGGGGAATATAGGCCTTAACGGAGAACCTTGAAGTTTCGGTAGCAGCGGTGTTTATTTTTACAAGATGGGGTTGTTAGTCTGGTGTCCAACCTTCCCTCTTTACCAGTCTTATTACTGGCTTAGCGAGGTAAAGAAGTGTGTTGGTGGCCGGGGATTGAAACCCGTACTAGATGCGTAGTCGGCAAGCATTCTACGGCTGTGCCACCGATGCACAACATACGTAACAACAACAATACATAACACGCAAATAATAGTTAAATGAGAATGTTGAGAATTAAAGGACGTCATTTATTTACAATTTTAAGCAGTTGAATCTTGTGAATTAAATCGTTAAACAGGAGGTTAACTGTTCCAGTATGACTGTGATTATTGGTGTAAGAATAGAACTTGGTCACTGTGGTTGAGCATAACTCCATTACGGATAAGATTTTATTTTGATAAATCACACAGTGTTGTACAGTAATACTAACTGATGCCCGCATTTCGAGCACAAACTATTGCTCATAATCATATCAAGTTACTCACTCACACAACTTTTTTCCTTGATTTATATACATGTGTGGAATTGATTAGACATCTGAATAAAAATCAATATAGGATAATGTGCATTCAGAAATAATAGTAATATGAGTTTTATTGATCAATTATAATCAGATGGGAAATAAGACGAGTTATGTACGTGAATTGAAGTAGAATTTTAAGATTATTTATTATCCTCCTCTGATTTAACTGACTGGTGGTGATAATATCTTCCATATTTCTGGTATTTGCATTGAGTCATTTCTGTTGCATATGTTGGGTGTAGATTCAATTGACAAGGATTCAGTAATCAACCTCTCTCTCCACCTACAGAGATTACTTCTTAGAATCTTAACCCTCTCCCACCCTATTGTGTGATTTTGTATCAATGCATGCAGTGCTATTGGTGAGTTTTTTTTCTAGATTACTTGTCTTCTCAGGCTCAACCAATCTTACCCTAGCCAAATTCTAATGTTCCGGCAATCTGATTACCCCCGATCTATTAGTTTGATCTATATAGTTGACCTCACTCTCAGTCATTGCAGGGTATTTTGTAAATGATATTACTTTGTTTAATTGGGTCTACCGAGTCTTTTAGCCTACAGAGCTTGTCTCTGAGTGAGTTTGTAGGTTTGAATGCCACCCTGATTCCTGCTTTAATCCTACGTAGGGCCTCAGATGTCCCCTCCTTATATGGTATAACAGTAGATGACTTATATTCTTTATTACTTTATCTTAAACTTTTATAATCATTTTAGGAACAATATCCTACTCTATCAGATAAAGTTAGACTGGTCTGTTGAATCAAAATTTAAGTAATCTTTTCCAATTGCAGAAGTCTACCTACCGTGTTTGTACATTTGAGATAAGAGCGTGGGTTAGTGATAGATCCTATTTAGCAAACAATACCACAGCCTAAATGAATCAATCACACACTTATCATTACACCTAAAGACCACTCTACCTCAGAGCCTTAGAGAATTTCAAAATGTGTAATAAACATAAGCAAATACTATTTCTTACCACAATTGTCAGTTATTTCAGCTTCAATACATTTTGATGTTGAAGACATACTCGCCAGTTTCGCTTCCTTAAGAAATGAGTCTAATTCACTAATCAATCCCGATTCTAACATCATATCCACTCGTTTATTTAAATGAGTATTCAAGACATCAGAAGCACAATCTAACCACAGTATAAGAGATTGTCCAGGATATCGTGGTATAACAGAACGATTTGGAACATCTTTTTTAGTATTTTCGTCGGTCGATTCACCTTCGCTTTCTGATAAAACATCCAGAAGAGCCCGTTTTACTTTACGAACATTATTTGGATGCAGGTGAGCTGCTAGATTCGGTCTCAATTTGTACAAGAGATCATAACATTGCTTTGGATCGTCAAATGAAATTTCTCTAAAAAACAGTAAAAGCCGAAAAAAAAAAAATATTGTTAAATGAATCTGGAAATACACGTCGTATAAAACCTTAGACCAATACATTTAATCCAACAATATTGGTTTCAATTAGATCTCATCAGGCTTAACTCTAATATATATAAGTTTACGAATAAAAATTCAAATATAAACCAATCATGGTGTTTTTGTCTATAGGATAATAAGATGAAAGACGAATTCAGCGAAGAAAATTTTCTTTATCGACGAAATCATCTTCAGAGGCTGTACAGTCGTATTTATACTCAGAAGAATGTATAGTGGTCTATTATTGAATAATAGGGGGTGACATAATTGCTGTAATTAATCATAGGTGGCTTTAGAGGTGAAAATTAAAAGACCAAACGGAACGAATTGAAAGCAAGATAACACAAATGCTGAAGAATATGAAGAACGAATCGATTATTAGCTCTGAATTATTCGAGCAAATACGACCCTCCGGTTCCGTGATTCCCCGTTTATATGGTCTGCCAAAAGTGCACAAAGAGAACGTGCCACTACGTCCAATCCTGGACATGAAAAATTCTCCATATCATGCTACTGCCAAATGGCTCACAGAAATCCTCCTACCTATCAGAAATAATCTCTGCAAGCATAGTGTTTCTGATTCGTTTGAATTCGTCGACTCAATAAATGATGCTAATGTATCTGGGAAGAAAATGATATCTATGGATGTTACTTCGCTTTTCACCAACGTTCCCCTCACTGAAACTATCTGCTTTTTATGCAAATTCATTGAAGATAATAATGTGGACGTATGTGTTCCGATACACTACTTAAAGGAACTACTTTTGAGGTGCACTCTAAATGTCCAATTCAAATTCAACAACACGATATATAGACAAAGAGATGGAGTAGCAATGGGGTCACCACTGGGTCCTTTACTTGCAGATTGCTTCTTGGCCAGTTTGGAGAATAGTATTTTATGGCCTACTATCGACAGTTTCCATCTGTACCTAAGATACATGGATGATACCTTCATCATATGTGACGACAATACTGACGTCGAATTGATAACTAATGAGTTCAACAGCTGCCATCATGCCATCAAATTCACGTCGGAATCAGAGATTAACTCGGAATTCCACTTTTTGGATGTTTTTCTAAAGAGGAGATCTGATGGCTCTCTTCAAAGATCGATCTACAGGAAACCAACATGGAATGGTCAGTACACAAATTTCCATAGCTGGGTCCCTTTAAGAAGAAAGAGAAATTTGATCCATTCCCTATCCTCAAGAATAAGGAGGATATGTTCAAGTGATACAATCGATGGGGAATTGGAGCGACTCAGACAAGTTCTCTTAGAGAATGGATATCCTCCAAGATTCATCGAGAAAAACATGAAGCTAAGAGAAAAGCCCGAAAGAATTCAGACTGTGCCGAAGAAACTGCTCTTTATGAGTGTTGAATTTAAAGGTGATACTGCAGCTGAGATCTTGAAGAATCGCTTACGCAGATCACTGAGGAAAGCCTTCTTTATGGCTGAGCTACGTATCAATTTCTACAGCCGACGAATGATCAACGGATGTGTAAAGGATAAGCTGCCGCTTTGGGCCACCTCAATGTGTGTTTATAAATTCACATGCTCGTGTGGAGCAAGTTATATTGGCCGCACAAAGCGCACGCTTTCCAAACGCATCTCTGAACATTATCCGGCATGGTTAGCAAAGGGACAATACAAGACAATTACTAGCTCAATTCTCGAGCATTTGGTGAACTCAGGCCACGTAGCTCCACCAGAGTCGTCTTTCAACATCATCTACAAAGTGAAGCCAAATTGTACAAAAGGCGTCAGGTTCCGGCTTTTGTGTATGGCGGAGGCGCTGGCAATACATCAATACAACCCTGATCTCTGTATACAGAAAAAGTTTGTCCAGTCTCTTATTCTACCTTGGTCTTAACCTCTTCACTTATCCTTCCCTGTTAAAAAATATTTTTGATTTTGTTCTTAATCTTTAATTTTACTTTTAGTTTGCTTTTGCTTTAATAATTAATTCACTATTATCAATTTCATATATTTTCACACCTTCTTCACACTTGTTAAATTGACACTCTAATAACTTTATTCTCACTCAAGAGCAATTTTAACCTTTTCTAACTTCTATCTTTGTTCCGTCAAGTACCATGTAATTTACAACTTTTAATTTTCACCTCTAAAGCCACTTATGATTAATTACAGCAATTATGTCACCCCCTATTATTCAATAATAGACCACTATACATTCTTCTAAGTATAAATACGACTGTACAGCCTCTGAAGATGATTTCGTCGATAAAGAAAATTTTCTTCGCTGAATCCGTCTTTTATTTTCTCCATGACTCAATGGGTATTTTCCGTGATAATAAGATGGTGAATATAAATTGTGCAATTAGTCATAATAGTAGTAATAATAATAATGGCCTAATCAATAATAAGAATGAAAAAGTGAGGCAATCTGTGATAACACGAACAGTGAGAACAGCACGATTAAACAAACAAATGTTCAGGTGGAAGTAGTCGATAAAGGCTAGTAAAAACAAATGAACCGATTAAGTAATGCTAGATTGTAAGGGAAGTAAATGAAACACGTTTATGATGAAGATGTGATAAGATTAAGAGACGATAAGAAAGAGGTTGAAAATATAAATAAGGGGTGGTGTAGAAGTCATTAGCTGATTATGTCTTACTAGGCCAAGGGAGGGATAATGGCTGTACGAACTTTTTTTGAATACATAGTTTAGGTTTAATAGTTCGAATGCCTATCGCCTCAGCTGTGTGTAGTAGACGAATACGAAGCCTATTAGAAAGATTCGGTGGGATACGATGAATTACTTTGAAGGCTCTCGTTTTCTCCACTACATGACCACTATCAATTAAATGTGATAAAATTGAGCTACGTATTGTTTTTGTCTGTCCTTTGCCAAACCACAACGGGAGACGTTTACTAACACGTTGGCTAAGCTGTCTAGTAGGACGCCCAACATAACTGTCACCGCAGGTGCAGTTGAATTGATAAATGCACATAGATGTGGTAAAACTATCAAGCTTATCTTTCGTCTGCGTCCCAATTATTCATCGGCTAGAGAATGACAAACATAGGTGTGCTGCGTAAAATGATCTTCGTATACTCCTTGAAAGTCTTTGGAATAAAATCTCACTTGATAAGTCACCATTAAATTGTAACTTAATAAATAGAGGTTTCTTACGTGCAGTCAGAGTCTCAGGTTTTTTACTCTGATGTTTTCGTATGTTTCCTTATGAAACTACTCGGATAGCCAGCCCATCTCCGTCAAGCAATCGTGAATATATTCAAATTCATATTAAGTCACTGACTGATTTAGAATGTCGAACTCTTCACAGAATTGTTTCAGTTCAAGTTGCCAACCACTTCTAACTCCTCCTAACTCCCATCTCAAATTGATATTCACATATATCCACGTTGTCATTCTATAAATATGTAATAACCATCAAGATAATCAAGGAGAAACTGTGTTATGATAGGGCACACTTTAAAGGTCCCCAACTTAATAAATGAACTATGTGTATGAAGAAGTACCCACGTTATCACAAATCAACCCTGTTTGATGGTGTTTGATGAAAACCTGTTTACAATTCAAATGGATTTTTCTTTTGCCTGCGGCCTGTTCTGCTTCAGTTGCGGGCCAGTGTGTCGTGAAATTGCCGTTTGCCTTTTCTAGCACTCTTCTTCACTACTTTATTCAGTGCAGCGCACATTGAACTCAGCTTCTACTTCTGTTGTCATCTTCCCTCTCACCATCCTATTCACCTCGATTAGCTTCCAGGTATCCGTTGAGAGCCATTCCTTTTTTTGTCTCTTCCTTCTTCCTAGAACAGTTGTACACACTCCATTAAATATCGCTTTCAAAGAGTTCCAATGTTCTTCCACACAGGTTTCCTCAGTGATGCCACATAATGTCTCCAACTTTGCTCTGATATCTGTAGTGAAAGCATCCCTTGTAGTCTTGTCCTTCAGTTTCTGAGTGTTGGACTTGAATTACAGTGGCCTGTCTCCATTTGTTTTCATGGATTTCACCTTCATCTTGAAGGTCCCTTGAACTAGAAGATGGTCTGAGCCCACATCCGCTCCCCTTTTTGACTTTGTATCCAGCATTCTGTGTCTCCACTTCCTTGAGATTGATATGAAATCTATTTGGTTTGTGGTATATCCATAAGGCGAAATCCATGTTGCTTTGTATATATCTGATATGTATCCACAGATATATATTTTTGTGTGTGTGTATGGTGGTCTCTCTTTCTGTTTGCTCGCTTAGTCTGTGACCATTTCACTTGTATGAACCTGTCTCTTTTAACAATGTATATTCCCCTTATAATATATATAAATGAGTGTTTGTTAACAGTCCGTTGCTTAGTGACATATATCCATATATGGTGGTTGTTGACATGTCTGCTATATTCGCTATGTATAATTGGATCGACACTCCATTATAATTAGCCATTCATGTTAAGACTGTCTAATGATTTTTCCCACGTTTTGTCTGGAACATTTAAATATATTCGCATTCACAATTTGTGTGAACTACTTTACTTACTTATCACTTTGGTGTGAGACCATTTTATTTTCGTCTCCTTGTGTTTGGAAAATAGAAGTATCATCGCAAACCTAGTGGTCTTCTGATTTCCGCCTTCTTGCGTCAGGACTATTAGTTTCTCGACCAGTCCATAACAATAATTTAGCGACGAGTACATAACAATTTGGCGACGGGGAAACTAGTACATAACAATATCCTTGTGTTTGTAGACGCTCCCTCCGATCACCAAAGTGTTAAAAGATCAGAATTCTGCGAATAATCCTTCGTTCTCATTCATTTCTCCGAGAGCCTTTAGGCCCATGATAAGTTCTCTTCATGGATTATCTGCCCCCCAGTTTGGCTTGCACTCATATCGCCCATTAGGATTTCGATGTCACCATTCGGGATGTTGTCCATTACTGTTTGTAGTTGTCTGCATATATCTCCCTTCTTCTCTTGTTCCGCGTTGTTTGTAGCACTGTGCGTAACAATGGATAATTGTTACCTTCCTTCCTCTGGAGTTGGATCTTGCTGTTATGATCCTGGGTGAAATCGGTTCCCACTGCATTGGGGCTTTGGCTGCCACTGGTGACATCATGATAACCACTCACTGCCTCAGTGTGTTCGTGGTTGTCACCTGGGCTACCGGAGTAGGTTATTGACTCTCCCGTTGACAATGTTATCAATCCACATCCATTCCATCTGCTCTTGCTGATACCCAGTACCTCTAAGCCATATCTTCACATCTCTTTGGCTACCTGGACAGCCTTCCCAGTCTCGTATATTGAACGGACATTTCACGTACCCACTCTTACTCTTGCTTTCACATCGAGAGAAGACACGTTGGTTGACTGGCTTCCCGAAGGCCTTCACCAGCCCCCGTCATTTCTCCTCTCTGATTTGAGCCAAGAATAGGATTTTTATTTGAAGTTTTTGTATTTTTAATATATTTTCTGTGTGTTGAAGGTTTTCTAGCGGTTTGAAAGATACCATATAAAAAAAAGACAATTAAGATAATATCAGTAAAAACTATACCTTTTAATTTTGTCCCGAGTATCAGACACGGTATACTTGGAAGCCAAAAAATCTTTCCATAATACAGCTTCTAAGTAATAGTGTGTTCCACCAGCAAGGATAGCCAACTTTTTCTTAGCATTCCTCACATTCTCAATCACTGGCAGACAGATGTCTCGATAGGCATGAACATCGTATTTCTGTCCATTTTCCGGATGGAAAATGTCTATAAGATGGTGTGGGATGCCCAGACATTCAGCAGGTGATACCTAGGCGAAATATAAGAAAGACATAAGTAAGTGAGTTATTCAACTTGCTAAAACATAAGTTCTATTCTAACAACGAAAAATCACTGTGGTAAAAACAAACTAAAATGTGAAGAATTCCATAAAAAAACAGGCTACATAACTTCACCTTAAAATTCAGTGACGTGAAATTTAAGAATAGAACTCTACAAAACTGACCACGTGTTTCCGGAAACCAGTTGGGGCCAAATTCTGCATCTCGTCTACCCAGTTAGTTTTCCAGGCACTAAGACAGTTTTAAATCAGTTAAAATAATCCCAGTGTGTTTAAGAAAAAAAATCGAAACAAGATTTTTCTGAACATTTCGCAGCAGAAAGCCACAACTTCTTCAACAGAGTTATTCAGATTTAATCCGAAAAGTTTGGTTTAGAGATTTTCTGAATTAACGACGCTGGGATTGTTTTAAGTCATTCATAATGATTCAGTCTGACTCAGCGCCCAAATTATTCCAGGAAATTCGTAGCATCTGCAGTCTGGATAATTGTGACCTAGGCAAGGCAGTTAGTTAGTTTAGATATTGCGGGTACGAAGGAGAAGTGAAATTCCTGATAAACAACATTCAACTATTTTAGCTGCCCATAGTAAGTGACTTAACTCTTTGATGATGACACAAGGTAATATATCAAAAATAAATAACTACAAGACTTACAAACCGTCTTCATGACATTCTAATCAGGAGAACGTATCTCATTAAGAAAAATTATCGAAATGAAAAAAAGACACGGTGACACAAAACACTTGAACTTGCTTATCCACAGGGAAACTGTCTCGTGTTCTTTAAATGATCATTACCATACTGATAGCTGCTACTTTGATGTGGTGGTTGGGCTTGCATATCACAATGACCCAATAAGCTACACTGGCTGCAATTAATGTTACTCCAGGTCCTACCATACCAGGAAGATTGTTACGATATCTACTACACTAAAAGGAGTTACCGGTATAGCGTAAGCTTTTCTAACACTATGCTGGGGATTTGTGGACAAACTCGTACTACTGGGTAACAAGGATGTAACAGACGCAGTAAGGTGTCTCCCTCATAGGACCAGCACGCGAGCTATGCTGTCCCTCCAATCTAGAGAAAAAAAGAAAAAGAAAAGGTCGATCCCAAAAACTGTACATCCTCACCCAACTTAGGGTGGTTGCTAGCCAGCGGAACCAATCCGAAAAGCTAGTTAGGGCACGCCGTGTGTGACCTCACTGACTGGTTTCAACGTAGAACTTTGCACAGATGTGCAGCAGTTCGAGTCACCATACTTCACTTAGCATACAAAGCAAGAGAAGAAAGTGAAAATAAATGCAAAATAGAGACAGCAAACAGAGATATAAGGCAAAAAGAATAGTAATATGAAAGAACCATATAGTTTTATTGGATATTGCAAGTCCCAAGGAGTAGATGTATCTGCGCCAGCCATTGAGAACGATTTTGAGCCATTGGTTTTTACCGTCCCGAGGGCCCTAACCAGGTAGTCTGCACCTTCCTACATGGCTTAAACTAACTGTTGTGTGTGACCGGCCTCAAGCAGTTGACTCCTGGGCTTTGTGGTCACACAACACTCTCTTTCTGTCTCAGGTACCCCAGGATTAAGTCAAATTCTATGTTGTAGGCAGCCGGGAAGTGACAACCACCCACACACTTCCAAAAGCACACGAAGGTCTCCTGGTTACCATCATCCTTTACCCGTCACCCACATCACCTTGTTTTCCTCCTACTGTACATACTATTCTGCAAGCTAGTCAGCCATCTGCATTTCATTCTGTAACCATAAATAATGATAATGATAGAAACACCCCTGACAGCCTCTTAAAGCTACACCGCCAACTTAATATTGGAGTATTAACGTCACGCATCACTAGCCATGGACGTTTGTTGTGTTTCAGAGACACCCATACAAGACGCGGGTGTGGTTATTCACTTAACCCCACCCAGTCAACAAGGTGAATCTGCAAAATTCACCTTAAAGGTATCATGAGAATCCTCAGCTAGTTCGCGAGGACTTACAGGTGTAGAGATAGCACTGAGTGTTAGGGCGGAAAAATCACTTCTTCACTGGATCCCAGTAGATAGTCGTGTGTGTGGTCTATCTGAACGGGTTCATTAGAAGGAAGAACGGCGTTACCCATCGTTGTCTTTTCATAGTCTACGCTTACGCTTCAACTGACTGCAGTTAGGATGAACTAAAGAATGATTTCCACCTGAAACTGCCTAATTTGCTACAAAAAGCAAAACGTTCAGATAATGCTGTTTTAGTAGGTGACTTCAATGCCCAAGTAGGGAAGTTGTGCCGGACTGAGAAGGACATAGGTGGTACGTACGTAATTCCCTGTCAACGAACCGACAGCGATGATCGTCTTCTACAGTTCTGTTTAGATAATCATTTGTCCCTAGTCAGCACTAACTCTAGGCACGAAGATAGACATCGCCTAACCTAGCTACCTCCATCACCAAATTAATGTTGGACTCAAAGAAACTACATAGCGATAAGCAATCGTTGGCGAAGGTCAGCAGAAGACTGCTGGTCTTTATGGAACATGTGCGTAGACTCGGATCATGTCCGAACTTGTGTCCGTTTATGTTTACGATTGCATGGACACAAAACGCTGTAAGCAACGAAGCAATTACGCCCCCGAGTTGATCAAGACACTGAGTCCCTATTTAAGGAAGAAATAGCAAGAATATTAGGACTCCTTCTGAGGAAGCCTGGCAAAATATACAGTCAGCTGTAGGCAAATTTGTAAAGGCTGTTATCGACCTAAAACCAAAAGTTAGTAGGAGCCAGTGGATTTCTACTGCCACATCCGAGCTGATTAAGGTAAGAAGATTGATTCCAGCGAGCTCAGAATATGATAAGCGAATGCCGCTCAAACGCAAAATGATAAAAACTCTTCGCAACGACCGTGAACAGTGGTGGGCGACAAAAGCGAAAGATATAGAGAAGGCAACAGCAATAGGTAACATCAGATAACTATCAAGGCTTATCGGGGAAACAGGTGGCAAAAGAAAAATACTAAGTGAAACGATCTCTGAGAAAAATGGAACCATAATTAGCTATTAGTTAAGACTACTGGAACGTTGAAAACAACACTTTGAGGAGCAAGTTAATTGGCCTACAGCCACGTTCAACTCACCCAGCATCCAACACCTCCCTGAATGGTATATAAACACCGTCCCTCCGCCTCTAACAGAGGCTACAAAAGCTATCACTAATACGAAACGAGGTACAGAAATGAGACCTGATGGAATGACTCCAAAGGTGTTTAAGGATGGTAGAGACAGTTTGCTGTTTACGTTAACTAAGGTACTAGGCTGAGTTTTGGAATCAGAGATTGTCCCGTCGGGCTGGTGTAAGTCATTGATTATTCCGATATACAAGAAGGGAGGCCAGTTTTCCTATGATGATCACAGGGGGATTAGCTTGATTAACATGGTATCTAAAGTTCTAGGCTCAATAATAATGCGCAGATTAATCGGTGTACGGGAGGAACAAACACGAGATAACCAGGCAGTCTTTAGACCAGGAACAGGGTGTATTGATCATATCTCCACCCTTCGACAGATTCTGTAAGAGGTATACTTACTGGCGTCCAACAAATGTCATCTTTCTTCACCTGAAAGTGGCATTCGATTCCATCAACTCAGAGGTAATATGGAGATGTTTGGATGTGAAAGGAATGTCAAGAATATACATTGCACTCTACTCTAAATCATGTAGCTAGGTAAGAGCTTACGGAGTCGTTATCTGAGGTGGTGACAACTAGTGGTGTCCGTCAGGAATGCCCACTGTCCCCATTTCTGTTTAATTTCATCATAGATGTACTAATGGACTTAACCCAGACTGACTTCAGCGACTCAGGGATGGACTCGTTACCACGGAACAATCTCGTCTACTTAGAATATGCAGAGGATATAGTCCTGTTCCTAGGTGAAGACAGTGACAAAATGTAGTCTTTTGAATACCTTGAGCTGCAATCTCAGAATGTTTGGCATGCGATTCTCTCCTTCTGTCGAATGTAAGATGATGCTAAAGGACTGGACTACATCGACTGCTAGCTATCTTAAAGACAGGCAGGAGTGAAGTGGTAGTGTAACAACAGAAGACAAGGGCCAGGCAACAGATCGTTTTATTATGAAAATCAACACGTATTTATACATCTTTCAACTACATTATTATAGACAAGCGCAGTCATCTGATTGGTTGTTTAGGTAGACAAACGCAGGCTTCTGATTGGTTGTTTCGGGATTCCTTGACAAATAGAGTTCTCTCTGCGAATCATATTCTGCCACGTTAACTTCGCTGTGATTGGTTGTTGACTCAGGCTTGTTCATATTTTCTCACGGCCCATATTAGTGACCTAGACCTTAACGTAGATTAGTGCCAACCAATCGGCTAGCAGCCTGCTCTCACCACAGTAGAACGTGTTGACCGCTTCACTTATTTTGGAAGTTGCATCAGCCATTCCCAGTGGGCTGGTGGAATCGACTTGTTACCAGGGAATAGTCTTATGGACTTAGAATATGCAGATGACATAGTCCTGTTAGGGGAGGATGCTGACAACATGCAGAGTCTTCTGAACACTTTTAGCAACAATCTTTGTATGTTTGGCATGCGATTCGCCCCTGCGAAATGTAAGATGCTGCTACAGGACTGGACTACGTCAGCTCCTAGCTTAGTGATAGGGAGTGAAGTGATAGGACATGTTGACCACTTCACCTATCTGGGGAATCGCATCAGCACCAACGGACTGATTGACGACGAAATCTCAGCACGGATCCAAAAAGCTCGAGCTGCTTTCGCTGACTTACACCATCTCTGCCGTAGGCGTGACATCCAGCTATCAACCAAGGGACGTGTGTACTGCTCACCAGTTCGCTCCGTCCTTCTCTAAGGCTCTGAAACATGGCCAATACGAGTTGAAGACATGAAAAGGTTGACTGCTTTCGATCATAGATATCTGCGATCTCTGTCTCACGTTAGGTGGTTTAACAAGGTAAGTAGTGTTGACGTTAGGCATAGAGTGTTGGGCAAACAGGGAAAATCGATCGACGAGGCTATAAAGTTACATAGATTGAGATGACTAGGTCACGTGCTACGCATGCCTAGTCATCGCCTCCCCCGAGGGGCACTACTAGCTGACATAGGTGCAGGTTGGAAAAGAGTAAGTGGTGGCCAAACAAAACCATGGCCTCATCAATCCATGAAATCCTTGACAGTTAAACTGAGTCAGGTAGGGAGATGCAGACTTCCGGGTTGGGGCCCTCGGGACTCTAGGAATCAATGGCTGGAGACAATAGGTGGCATGGCTCAAAATCGTTGGCAATGGCCAGCGCAGATGTATTCATTCTCTGTAATCTTTCATATTCCTTTTTACCATTACCCTTTCTGTTTCACTCTTATACTTGTCAAACTCTATTGATTCTCTTCACTCATCTTCTTGTCTACCTCTGTGTGCTATTTGGAACGTGGCAACTCGGACTGCTGCACTTCTGTGCCAAGTTCTATGTTGAATCCAGACAGACAGACAGTGGGCTGGTGGCTGACGAAATCTCAGCACGGACACAGAAGGCTCGTTTGGCAAATGGCAACTTATGCCGTCTCTAATGTAGACGTGATATCCGGCTGGCTGTCGACTAAAGGGCGTGTGTATCGCTCAGCAGCTCGCTCTGTCTTCCTTTATGACTATGAAATATGGCCACTGAAAGTGGAATAAATGAAAAGCCCATCTGTTTTTGATCATAGGTGTCTGTGTTCTATCTCCCATGTTAGGTGGTATTATAAGGTGACCAATATTGAGGTACAGCATCGGTCGAGTGCTAGGTAAGGAGAGGAAATCAATCGACGAGGTTGTGAAGTCACACCGATGGAGATGGTTAGGACATGTGTTACGCATGCATGTCTAACCATCGTCTCCCTCGACAGTGATTTCTTAGCTGACATACGATAGATAAGGTTGGAAAAGAGTTAGCTAGTGGTGGCCAAACCAAAGCATGGCTTCATCAGTCAACGAAATCCACAACAGTTAGTTTGAGCCAGCCAGTCACGTACGGAGGTGTAGACTGACTTCCTAGATGGTGTCCTCGGGATAGTCAAAACGAATGAAGACTAGAGACAATTGGTGATATGGCTCAAAATCGTTCTCAATGGCTGGCTCAGATGCATCCACTCCTTGGGACTTACAATATCCAATAAAACTATATGGTTCTTCCATAATACTGTTCCTTTTCCCTCATACTTTTGTGTATTATCTCTCTCTTGAATCTGTCTCTCTTTTCTTACTTTGTGTGCTACATGTAGTGGAGGGTTACAACTCGAAATGCTGCACATCTATGCAAAGTTCTACGTTGAAACCAGCCAGTCCGTCAAACGATCATTAGTAAAGCATAGTTACATAGAAATGTTGTACCTACGAGTATTTTGACAAATAAGTTACAAGATATTGGTTAAATAATTAAGCCCCAATACCTCCGTTTAACACCAAAAGTTCTTCATTTTCCTGTCTCATAACATTATAGTTTTCACTTTCATATTTTATGGAATATAAATTCCATTAATTTTTTAGTGTGATAAGGTTTACCAAGTACAAATCAAAATCGAATCACTACGAATAGCGTACTCACTTTATTTGTTGCAATTGTGAGGCCCCTATACAACTGCAGTGCATCAAAGTTGATGACTTCACCATTGAAAACATTAGCGAGACTTATTGCTAACTTTGACTTTCCAGTGCCAGTAGCTCCGCATACAGCTATAACAGGAAGTTGGCAGGAAGAACTAGGTAAAATAGACTGCTGAAACATACGACAGAATAACAATCTATGGATTAAAATAATTATTCCAAATAATGACATCTTACCGTGAGCTACTGGCTAGAATAAACACACGAAACATGTACAACAAATACAGTCCAGATAATAATCACGATTACATTAGAAAACTAGTCGGAAGTGACAGTGACAATACATCTAATGAAGAAATCAAATTGTTAGCATAACAGAATTAGTCTGATACCATCATTAAAGCAAAATGGACAAAATCATACAGTTAGGCAAGGGTGTATAAAGTTCATTAGTCCTTCAAGTATTAACAGCTAGGTTATAGAATTCTGTCGTTTTCGAGAGGCAGGTTAGATGGACGTACTTGTTATCCTTAGAGAACAAGAACAACTATGAATACTACCAAAAGACACAAATAACAGCTTTTAAAACTTTCAACAATTATTCTTCCTACGAAATCCTTCAAAAAACCATCTGCACTAATCATCAGATAGCTATCTGAATTGGATTCTAAGATTCTAGAATCTTAGAGTTCAAAATTACTAATTCGGTTGAGCTGCGACATATTTGTGGTTTTTGTCATTAGTATGTCACACAAAAGGATTGTCACAATATACAGTGAGCGATCCACAGCCACAATGAACCGCTTTGGAAGGAAACAGGACGGTGAACTAAAGTTACTACAGAAGATGAACATTCTAATCGTGTCCACAGTCGACGTGTGAGAAACAAATGAGAATCACCACTCTTACTTCACATTTGACTGAAGTAATGACTTCAAGAAGACAGATGGGCACTGTGAAATAATAACTAAAAGTAGTTAGCAGATCTAGCTTTATCACATTTTTCTACTTTAGAACTCGCGACTGTCCCACAATAACCAAAACATAATACCCAGGTCAAGGTGTGACCTAAAAGAAAGATACGCAAAAACACGTCCTAAACACAACCGTGTCAACTCTGACCAGAGTTCTTCAAATGGACTTGGGGTTGATTCAGTGACTAAAAGCGAATAATTAAGTGAACTGTCATAAAACGGTATTTTTAGCCATCCTCACAACTTTTAGTTGTATAGAGCTCGTAAACCTTAAATTCACTAGTGAGAAAATTTTCTCACAGATATAGGTAAGGAGGTGGAAGACTTGGGTAATATCGCGTCCAAACAATGGGATATTTTTTGGAATGAAATGGGTAATATGAGAAAATGTAAAATGCATTCACCCGTAGGCAAACAGAAGAAATAATTCGTTAAGGACATTAGCAACGTGTGCAAAGCAGACTATTAATTCCTTGGGAAAACAGGAAAAACCGCGAAAAGTGAGCAATACGACCATATTTCCACATACGAAATTTGAAATTTCCTAAGCTTACAATGATGCGGAAGTAAAGCACTCAGATTCAGAATTACGGCTTACTTACTACAGTAGGCTGTGGAATTGTTTGATTTTCGACACAATAAACAACTCAGTATAGCTGGCTCAAATTTGGCAATGTGGACTTTTCTTCAACATTATCAGCAGTAGTTCGGAGACTGATGCGTTTGTTCTATAAATTCATCCAAACACCCTAGAACCCCTTTCGGCACAGCTCGAATTCCGTGAGGGTCCTGTGCTATTTTTAAGCACTACCAGCATTACTTCAGAATATACTAAGTTTTTTTCAGTAAAAAAAATAATCATTTACCATACAACGGCATTATCAAACACATCTAAGAATTAATTCAGAATTACTCTAAGCTTGGATATGTTGTATTTTATGCATATTTCCTCATTTTTAATCTTATCATAATTGCTTATTTATTATACCTCTCGCCAACTGGTAATACACGCATATAACTTTATTTAGAATACAAGTAAATGATTTTAGTCGGTAACAATGAAAATACTAATAATTCTAAAACCACATGGGAAACGTACCGCTACCTCCAATTAAAGCGCCAATATGAATTTGTGACCTATTCAATACTTAATATCGTTTTTACGAGCTAGGATAAACCAATTTGATTTCCTTGTGCTCGCCTCTTGATTGTGAGGCAAAGGTTCCTGGTCGTCGGTAAACTTCTAATAGTTCGTCCCGTCACTCCTCGGTCGCAGCTGTGGTTGACTCCAAAAGGAGTAGTGCTGTGATTAATTATATGTTGTTTGTAGTATGCGGTGTGTTAAGACTTCCTTATTACTGTGAATGGAGTTCATCCTATCACCATTTATTCGTCCAGTATCTTTGTCGAAAGAAAAGACATAATAATATATATAATTAACATAGGTTCTTCAGACTAAAAAAAGAAATAGAGAAGACGTAAAAATAATAATATAATATTAACAGCTTAATTGCAAACGGTATCTGTGGTACATGTATGGAATTTTCAGCGTGCATTACAATATATTTCATCTAATTACCTCATAAATTTTATAAGATTTTTAAAATCAAAATAAATAAAAAAATAAAAAAACAGAGCCAATAAAAATAACAAATAAAAGATAAATAAACAGCGTAGCGTTTACATTTCAAACAATGCACCACAGGATATGAAATATAAAATTGGTGTGTAATAGAAGATGAGAACAACAGTGTAATGGTAACGAGGAAAGGAAAACAAAAACTAATGGGACTATTTCTTGGAGTGCTGCAGTAAGTTGATCGTGTCATACCTAATGGATTTCTCATCACATAACAACCGTGCCAGATATGGTATTGTGAAGTTTTGTACTTGGTAGTTCTAGCATATAGCCTCCTATGGAAGCTTCTAGTTCTACAAGATTAAATGCAAGGAGAGAGCTGCGTATAGAGAGGATGCTCGGGGTCTGACAATATTGTAATCGCTAGTTTCTTACATAACATAATATGTCTATCCACAATAGTGTTAACCAGTTGGTATAACGATATCCCGCTTGCCCTACTAACGGCTTTTAGTGCCCTTCTGAGCAAAGCAAAGTCTTTCTTAAGTAGTCCAGGAAAGAATAATAGGGAGCAGTAAAGGAGGATGGGTAGAATACAAGAATTTACAAATTGAGAAAGTAAAGATTGCTTTATACCAGACTGCCTAAATTTCCTAATGTAGAACGTTAAGCGAAACATCTTTCTAGTAACTAGCAAGATGTGGGAAGACCAAGAAAGATCAGTGGAAAAACCCAGCCCAAGGTACTTGACATTAGATGTATTTTCAACCTCTGTGTCGTCAATGATAGTGGGGTCATGTGAGCTAACTAGTTGTTGTAGGTCACGTTCACGTCTGAAAGTGAAATTGACTACCTGATATTTAGACGGATTAAGCTTAAGACAGTTTGAAGAGGACCACTGACTAACTTCCGACAGAAAGTTATTTAACTTGGAACAATCTCACTGAGAGTTGACAGGCGTAGAACCGGAGAGGTCATCGGCATACTTAGCAAAAGTGGGTACATCAGAATGAGCCAGGTCATGTAAGAAAAGCGAAAACAGAAAGGGGGAAAGAACAGTGCCCTGAGGAACACCAGCTAAAGTAAGTGAGGTAGTGGAGGACTTCCCATTGTAGACGGTGTACTGCTTCCTATCAGAAAAATAGGAATGCAACCACTTATTTGTTCAGCTATCAGCCTGAGTTGCAGCAAGCTTACTTAGCAAGAGAAACCTGGGAACAGGGTCAAACGCAGAAGTGTAATCAAGGAAGGCACAGCGAACGTATTTAGCTCCTTTATCTAAACTAGAGACAATACTATCTAACGTACACCTACTATGTTTATAAGCAAACTGGTCGGGGTCGTTGAAAGGCTATAAGATGTCGGCACACTTCTTAAGGATAACAGCAGGAACACCATCAGGACCGAGGGACTGAGTAGGTTTGAGAGATTGAAGACACTTGAGGACATCATTCGTGTTAAAGCATGAGAAGCAGTCATTATTTACACTATTTGAGTTAGGAATCATAACATTTGCTGGGATACATATGAAGGATTCATTAAGCATGGTAACTGATACGTATATCCATATAATATGTGTGTTTGTTGACAGTCTGTTCTTGATGACATGTATCCATATAAATTGTGTGTTTGTTTGGCAGTCTGTTATATTTGCTAGGTATATATGGATCGATATTCCATTATAATTAGCCAATCATGTTAAGACTGTCTATTGATTTGTTCATTTTGAATATTCGCTCTCACACTTGTGTTCACACACTTGTTCGGGCATTCATATATTTTTGCTCTCACACTCTTGTGGGACACATTGATTCTCCTTGTGTTTGGAAAATAGAAGTATCATCGCAAACCTAATGGTCTTCTGATTTCCGTCTTTCTGGCGTCAGGACTATTAAATTCTCGACCAGTACATAATAGTTTGGCGATGAGTACATAATAGTAACATCTACAGAAATATCATTCATCATTTGCTTACCACCTGTGATTTCCTCTAATAATTTCCACATATTAGATGGGGATTTATATCAAAGAAACTTCTGATCATAGAGAGCAATCAATCTTTGTAATTCAAGCTTAATCAAAGTGTTCATTCTCTTAACACCAAATTTGTTTTTCGTTTCGAACAACCTTTCTTTTTCACGGTTGAGCTTTTTGAGTTGAGAAGAGAGAAGCGGTCGAATTTTAAGAAGATTGTCTCTTTTGGACAACAAACATCAAGACAGAAATTAAGATAATGTGTTATGTTGGTAATTGTGTTATCAAGAGCTTGTTCAGCAAATAAATCCCAGTTTGTGTCTTTTAACATGAACCTCAGATTCAGTAGGTTGTCATGGGAATAAAATCTGTGTTGTGTTTTCTTTCCAAGGTGTGAGAAAACCTTTTTGCGATGCTTTCCATATACTTTGGGCAATATTCTTATGATACAGTGATCTGAAATTAGTAGTGGGGCTCTTTTTCGAGCTTCAAATATTCCTGCGTCATTTGTAAACACAAGATCAAGGGTGTTATCCATTCTAGTCGGGAAGTTGACAATGTTATCGTGTCCAGGTGAAATTAGGAAGCTGTGATCACTAGAATTGAAATCTCCAGTGACTATAGACAAGGAATTTCCGAAGGAGGTGGCAGCAAGGGAGGTAAATTCATCCGCAAATAATGATAATTCTGTGGAATTGCATCCAGGAGCAATATAAATATTAGAGATGTAAATGTATTTGTATTTTGACAAATGTTTGAGTCGACACTTAACGGCAAGGCAGTCAATTTTGTCACTAGGGAATTTGAAACATACATTATTAGACGTACACCATTGTGAATTGATGAAGATGGCGATACCGCCACCGCGTTTCTTCCTGGGACTACATCGATCTTGTCTGAAAAATTTGAAATCATTTAGATATACTAGATTGTCATCAATTAGATCGTGTAACCATGTTTCTTGAAGTGATATAATCCCAGTATTACGTTATATAATGGAAGACACCAGCGATTGAAGACAGTTTTAGCTGGCAGAGAGCGACAATTGGTACTCATAATTGCGGGAACAGTCGTGAATTGAATAGGGGTATTTTTTAAAGCTCTTTGCCGGCCGGCATGATGCTTTTTCTTGTCTTTTTTATGGAGTTTCAGATCAGTAAGTTGTAAGGATATTGAATAGTCACGAGAATAAATAATCCGATTAGAAGTCATATTTGAATAAGATTTAGTGATTAAAAATCAGTTAGAAATGAGAAATAGGATGCAATATGATTTGTAATGTTTAAGGTATTTGGTAGCACAAGATTTAAGCAGGCCGCCACTTCAGACAGCTAATTAAATTTGAGGTTGAAAAATACATATATATGCATATAATATCAATAATAATAAGTGTAGGTGTAGTAGTTGGAGTAGTCGGGGAGTAAGACGGGAGAAAATATGAAGTAAAACGATGGATTTGGTTGTCTATCCATGAATGGTGTATGGGATTTTGATGGCATAGGCTATTTGAATGCAGTCCTTGTGTCGCTGGATGATTGTCCAACCTTCGCTTAGAGGTGTCCACAGACGGTGCCATAGCTACATCTGCCAGTAAAGAGTTCCAGAGACGGCAACCCCTCATTGAAGAGAAGAGGGAGAGCACCCAGCTCCTTGGCCTCTGGTGAGCTATCTTCCTGGGATTTCCACGAGGAAGCCCATACCTACTCAGTGGCAGAACACCTTTGTTTGAGTGATTCTGGTCGTTTCTTGTCTTGTAGGCATAAATGAAAAACCCTAAGCCGACAGTAGCTAAGTTTGAATAGGCCTGACTTCTTTAGTCTTTCGTCATACGGTATATTTCAGAAATCAACCACTCCTTTTATCGCCTTTCGTTGCACTCTTTCCTAGATGCTTGCGTCTCCTCTGGGTTATAGAGGAACGATAATATTGTGCACTTCCAGGTGTAGCCTTACATGTGTTTTGTGTAACCTTGGAAAGAGCTCATAAGTGAGCGCTTCCAGCTATCTATGAGTAAAGTGTACTACCGCATATGCCCTCGCTATATTACCCGTGTAATTCACGGTTATGTTCATTTTTCTGTTAGAGCTAGACCTAAGTCATGCTGCGACGCTGTGCAGGACAAGCTTTCGTTGCACAGTATGTAACTTGTATTTTGCAGCTTACAGGTTTGTCATTTCTCTACTTTGCACCTTTTCAGGTTGAAATTCATACCAGTGGCCACCGCCTCGTCTTCCAGAAGCTTTAGATATGCCTATAGCTTATGTGAGTCTTCCATACACTTTTCTACCCTCAATCGTTGGTGCGTCGGTGGCACAGTGGTTAGGACTCTTGCCGGCCATGTGCATGGTCCGGGGTTCGAGCTCACACCGGCGCACACCTGATATCTATGGTCGGCCTGCGAGATTTGGGCTACCGATATCCACGCTGAAAATTCCATACTTGTACCAAAAATACGGTGTGGAATCAAGCTGTAATCAAAACAAAAAATATCTTTACATAGTCAGAGAATAGAATAGGTCATTGACAAAATCAAAAATATCATTAGTCCCAGGATAGAACCCTGCGACACTC